GAAGAAGAGCAATTTTGTGGGTAAAATTCTTATGGCTGCTGTGCTAACAGCGCTATGCATTCTTATGCTCAAGCAGTCTCCAACTTTTAATACCCCAAGTGCAGTAATTCCCTGATCCTTCCTCTGTTGAATTATTTTCTCAGTTTTGTGTCTATATGCTTGGATTAGATTGACAGTTTGATATTTGGAGTTTTATATAATGGACTGCATGTTCTCTTGTGTCATTACTAGCATGGGTTTCTTTTGTACTTTTTATTTGACATGAGATGGTTGTATAGTACATTTGTTCTTTTCTACAAGTTCTGAGTCTTTGTTTCTTTAAGATAGTGGGAATATTTAACCAACTATTGGATTATCAATGTAACTTACCATTGACCAACCAAAGTGATGTTCTCTAATGTATAGGATGCTTGGAATCTTTTACTTAAATCTTAGTCCAATCAGCTGAGACACAAAGGCTGCTGTAACTGCCGTGTCACTAAGAGTAGTGACAATTAGGTTTCTCCGCCATGCCTTTATTCCTGTGCCCTTCTCCAAATAATGGTGAAAGGTCCTTATATATATGAAACTTGGATACATCACCTCTTTTGTACACATCAGTGCACTGTCTACTTGTGGATGGTCTACTTCTGCTTTTGGTGGGTGGTCATTTAGAAGGCTGGCGTGGCATTAAGTTCTGTTTGTGCAGATCTTGGATATATTGATACTTCTACTTTTTGTGGAACACTACATTGTCACTTGCACCATTACAAGCAATGGCAACTGGAGAACTAGTTTGGTAATATATCTTGGTTTGTGGCAGTTTCCTGATAGCTACAGCCTCTCGGTCCAAGTAGCTAATTACACTTAAGAAATGCCAAGTTGTTTATTTTCCTGCAATTGTTGGAAACCTTTGAAATCGGAAGAGTACTATTTGCTGCTTTCTTGAGTTCTTCTCAGTCCCTTTTTCTTTCATGCTTCATGTTACAAGCATTCTTCTGTTGATCATGAAATTTCTGTACCATTAAGCAGTTTAGGATTCCAGTTTACTTTTCTCAATTTACAATATCTCCAATTTCTATTTCATAGTTTGTACTAATGGGCCGTGTACAGTGTAAGATGAAGAAGGATTTTAAAATTCTAAATATTTAATCCTTTTCATCTTACTATTTAGGATTCTGTTTGCATCTATCTTTCATTGCCTTGACATATCCTTGTTGAACAGGTCTGAAAAAGGTGTACATATTTAATTCAAACTTTCAAATGTACTACAAATTAACAAATTTCTGCATGTATCCGTATCAGATGCACCAAATGTGTGCCCATAGCCAAGTCCGTTTGGCATTGGATTTCTTTTGCTACAAAAGATTGAAGTTCTTATGGTTTTGAAATTCTAAGCTTTGTTCTCATTGTGTTTGTTTTTTCTTGTTGATGCTTTCTCCTAGTTCTCTCGCCATCAACCAGGTGTTGTTCATGTCTTAGTCACCGGAGGTGCTGGCTACATTGGTTCCCATGCAGCATTACGACTTTTAAAAGAAAATTACCGGGTGACGATAGTGGTAATATCTCCTTCTGAAGTTGTGATTAGATCCTTTGACAGTCATTCTTGAATGACTCTTTTTTCTACTTTTAACTTCACTTTATGGTCTTATGAGCATGAAAATGCGTAAATGAGACACTCAATAAGAAAAATGATTTACCAATTCGACAGGACAACCTTTCACGAGGAAATATGGGAGCTGTGAGGATTCTGCAGGAATTATTTCCTGAACCAGGGAGGCTTCAGTTTATATATGCTGACTTGGGGGATGCAAAAGTGGTAAACTGCAGCTGTTCTGAAACTACCTTCTTTATTGTTATTGTTATTTGACATTCACTAATTTCCATAACTGAAATGAGCAGGTCCACCAGATATTCTCCCAGAATGCTTTTGATGCTGTGATGCATTTTGCAGCTGTAGCATATGTCGGAGAGAGCACCCTCGATCCTCTAAAGTAAGTATAGTTGATCTTTCTGTAAAGCTTTCCATCGTAACATGTAAATGGAGAGTTAGCATTCAAATAAATAAATAAATGTGAATTAGTGTTTCACTTGGTGCATTGTGCAAGGAATAGAGAACTAAATCTTTTACAGGGTAAGCCAAAGCATCAAGTATGTACAGATATTGCATCTCTGTCAAAGTTGGTTGTATGTATCACTGATGTAACATTATTTTTTCCTGCCTTGATTGGTTTTACTCCGAATACAAGCAAATTAAGGCTAGTATTACCAGTGTTGTGAAAGGCGATTGCCTCGTCGCCAATGGCGAGAGTCGAGGCAACCCTTCATTGCCTTTTAGCTTTGTGGCAAGGCAATCTTCAAAAGGCGCCGCCATGGCGAGAAAGGTGTCGCCTTTTGTATTTTCTTATAAAAGGTAACCAATTTAGGGTTTTAAAAGTTAAAAAGGTAATTTTAGGATTTTCGACTAGACTCCTCGAGCGACCAGCCAGAATTTTCCAGCGACTCCAAAGTTCAGCCAATACATTGTTCGTTCTTCAGATTTCCTTTTTCTTCTTCTTCTTCTTCAAACGTCAGAGTCACTTCTACCCTTTGTTTTTTTCTCTGTTTTGATTTTTCTTCTATTTTTTACTCATTCAAGTTCTAATCATGTACAATCTGTTTTTAGTTTTTGAATTGAAATATTTGCTAATATCTTGTTGCTATTGAAATTTTGATTATTTATATATGCAATTAAATATTTTAATTTTTTGGTATTAATTGGGTCGCACTTAAAAAAGGCGAGCGCCTCGCCTTGTGGCAAGGCAGACCCTTTTCGCCTTTATCACCTTTTGCCATCCAAAACACTGAGTATTACTACTTTGAATCGTATGTGTAATTTTATGTGACTTCTTATCTGAAAAGTGCAATTTGCTTTAGGGGGCTTGGAATTTTTATCATTTTTCTCAAACTTAATAGGATTAAATATTTCTAACCAAAGGAGCTAGCATGTCTCATTAATGAGTAAATTCAGAGTAATTTCCATGTCGTGATACTGTATAAAGTTAAATATTCCTCTGGTAATTTGGTTATTTGCCTTTGTCCTCTGAAACTCATATTTCATGAGGTGCTGCATGTTCCAATCAGGTACTATCACAACATTACTTCAAATACGCTCACTGTCTTAGAAGCTATGTCAGCTCATGGAGTCCCCACATTGATTTACTCTAGTACATGTGCGACATATGGAGAGCCTGAAAAGATGCCTATTACCGAAGAAACTCCACAGGTGGGGTGTAAAGGCCGTATTTACTTCTAGTATGCTAGAACCGTATGATTGCCTCTCTCTTATGTCAATGGTAAGCAACAGCTGAGAGTTTTTCGTCAAATTGCAGCTCCCTATTAATCCATATGGAAAAGCGAAGAAAATGGCAGAGGATATTATTTTGGATTTCCATAAGAACTCAAACATGGCTGTCATGATTTTGAGGTAGGTGTTCGATATGTCTTTGCTAATATACCCTTTCCCTTTGATCGATGGTTGAAACCTGAGTCATAACTATTGGTTGACTGGCTATGTCTAGCACAATTAGCATGGGTTAAATTAATGCTAAATTGTTTTCTGAAAATACAGGTACTTCAATGTGATTGGATCTGATCCAGAGGGAAGACTAGGAGAAGCTCCCCGGCCTGAACTTCGTGAACATGGGCGAATTTCTGGTGCTTGTTATGATGCAGCTCGTGGAATCATACCTGGTCTCAAGGTCAGCCAATAATAGCCATATCTATACTCGATGTATTTGCTATTTATCATCTATGTACTCGCGGTTGTTGAATTGTCAGAAGTCGCTTCATGCATGGAGCATTTCTAATATCTACCAGAAAATATCTGGTTCTTACGAGTGAAATTCATACAGATAAAGTTTATTGGCTACACTATTCTGATACCCAGTTGCCATTGTCACTCTTAATAACATGTAAAAGACAAACATTCCGCTGTTCTATCAGCAATTCTTCTAGTATGGGCTATGAGGGGGGGGGGGGGGGGGGATGGAATGTGTCAATGATAACATGAATAGTTATGATCTGCCCTCATCTCTGAGAGCCTTTGTTTCGTCGTGCAGGTTAGAGGAACAGACTATAAGACAACAGATGGTACATGCATTAGGGATTATATAGATGTCACTGATCTGGTTGATGCTCATGTGAAAGCTCTTGAAAAGTCTAGGCCTGGGAAGGTGGGAATCTACAATGTTGGAACCGGAAGAGGTAAGGCGTTCCTTCTTGTGTCATCATATGCAGTTTCTCACTTTGAGTCTAGTTCTCACTTTATTCTTTTGGTCTCTGAGAACAGGTAGATCAGTGAAGGAATTTGTGGAGGCTTGCAAGGCAGCCACTGGAGTTCCTATCAAAGTTGACTTCCTTCCTCGTCGCCCTGGTGATTATGCAGAAGTCTTTAGTGATCCTACTAAGATAAAACTTGAACTGAACTGGACAGCCCAACACACTGATCTTCAAGAGAGTTTGCAGGTTGCATGGAGATGGCAGAAATCACACCTTAATGGTTATGGTTCATCTCTGGTCAAGTCTTCGTAATGCATTGACAACTTATCGTTGTGGAAGATCGACATGAACCCCATCACACAGCTTAACATTGTCGTGGATTTTTAGTATTGCTAGAGTAGTTTTTTTGGAAGCGAAAGAGGGGTCTATATTTTTTCGTTCATCTAGATTGAATTACATGACACAGTTTTGTGTATTAGTCAGCCTATTTATCCAGTCATATATGATGTGTATCTTAGTCTAGTAAAACATATATTTAGATCAATAATAGTTCTGGGCCAGTATAGCTTCGTCCCTCATCTATGCTCATTTGAATTTGTTGCGTGTTTATTCTTGATGTATATAGAAAACTGGGTGTTATAATTGCCTCCACTTTTGGAGAAATGGAAGTTGCTTCGACCATATCAGTAATAAATTCTGTATATTTGATAATTTCCAACAATTTGAAATCAATTTTGGCAAAGGTAATTCTTTCCAATAACTTCTTGCTGAACTAAACAATCAAATATGATTATACTGATAAAGAATAGTTGATTATGAACTTGACTCTTAACTCTTAACAAATAGAGCACTTGTTCAAGAACAGATCAGTATCTGATGATTTTTCTTCTTTTGGGCTGTAGCAAAGTTAACAAACTAGAGCTGTTTCACTATGAACTCTATCTACTTTTGTCGATTGAGTTCTCAAAAATTCTTTACAAGAAGCCATTAGATTGTTGAGTATTTTGCTGTCATTTCTGGCAACAATCCGGCTCACCTCTTGTAGCAATCTGAAAAGCGTACCGTCTGATAATTGATCAGAATTTTCCTCAAAAAACTTCATCCAAAACTTGGCAGAAAATGCCTGAGACTCAGCAGGAGGATAATCAGTAACACAAGTCAGGGCAGCAGCAATGTTCCCTCTTTCCAGCTGCATGCGGAACATTTCTTTGACTAGTGGCACTGGTGGAACCCGATCAGCCCGAGCCAAGTCCTTCCATGTTGCTTCCAATAATTCCACCTGAAAAGGTCCGTGTAGAATAGTCATAACTCTTAACTATCATCAGCTAAAGAAATGAAAGTGGGATATCGTCAGAGTAAAACCAAAACAACCTTAGATTCACTTTAGTATACTGGCCCAAAAGATCGATATGACAAACCAATGATACTGTCATTCGGTAATAGGGATAGTTTTTATTTTTATTTTTGTAAAGGTGGTATTCAGACCACCAAAAGCTTAGAAAGATGGGAAGAATTACCACCTAATGTTGTCTTCATAGATGTCTTTACTGACCACTAGGTCACAACGTTGTGCTCTACAGTGATAAAAGGATAGTAGTTGCACCCTTGGAAATTATTGGGAAGTTCGAGGTGTGTTCCCAGTAAACTAAAAAACCATAATATTTCACTCCAGAACTAGAAAACGGGATGCAGCTGTATAAAAAAGAAAAAAGAGATTCAGGAAGCTTCTCAAGCAACCCAGTCAAGCTCCTTATGTAGTAGAAAGTATCTTCTCAAGCCCAAGCTACCTTCTAACTCAAACTTCCCTGCGTCCTGCACTGACAGGGAAAAGAGAGTGCCAACCACCACTCCTCTCTCTATTTTTTTTTTATTCCTAGCAGTAGGTAGACAATCACAAAAGGTACGTGACATATGAGCTGATAACTCTCAGACCATTGGCTTGTCATAGTACCTGGCATCAAATTGAAAACAATTTGAACTCCACGTATGCCACCCTGGTAATCAAAAGAAACCCCATTGTGTTCACTGGTTTCTCATTCCAGCAAGAAATTTGTTGGCCACAAGTTAAGACAGCATTTTCCATCCCAGAACATCCTCTTAATTCCTTCAGCCAACAAAAATAATTCCGAGTGCTGACGATCATGCTCTTATCTTCACATCCATAATACCAATTAGGTCGGTGAAGAACTACCCAACTAATCAGTTATACTTCAGCAAGTACATGAGGAAACAAATAACTCATAGTTCTCACAGAAGGAAAACAAAAACATCCGGAGGTATTGTATGAGCAAGAAAGACTTGGCTAAAGGATGAAACTAATTAAAAAAGCTTCTTTTCTTTGCTGTAACAATCCTAGGTGTGTTGATCTCTATTATTACCCAAAATCATCGACACATATTATAGCAAGAACTTACAATTTTTTTCTTAAACAGACTATAAAGAGATCAAATTAGTTTTTATAATATAGAAAGAAAAGAATTAGTTTTATTGTACTGGTCTGATTCAATTTTGTGCACAAGTTTCATACTACTACTTTTTGACACATAAGTTACATCGTTTTATTATTTACAGAAAATTGGGGGCGGATCAGTTTTCAAATATTTTCTCTAAAGAAAAGCTAGTTATATTTCAACAAAACAGAAAGTTGTACAATAATTTGACAGTCTACACCATGATCAGCTAAATAAAATTTCATATGGGAATTTCCTAGGAATGACAACCAATGAACATGAAAGGCTGAATACTGGGTTGACAAAGTGTACCTTTCCATCCCTGCAGGAGTCAAGTACCATCTGAATGTGACGCTTTGCATTGAAGTGGTATCCATATTTCAGCATATGTGAGTACACAAACTTGAGATCATCCCATTTCTTTCCAGCAGCACATGCATCCAACATCAAGTTGAATGTGTAGACATCTGGGAAAACCTTATCCTTACCGTCCAATTTACTGCTAATAGAGTTACCATTATCCAATAACTTGAAAAACATTTGCTTTGCTTCTTCAAACATCCCACTATCTAGATAACCTTTTAGCATTATATTATAAGTTATCAAATTTGGGGAGCAGAACTGGTGCATGTGGTTGAAGATGTATGCTCCACTCTGAATGTCACCAGAATCCAGACAGGCTTGAATTAGACCAGTGTAAGTCACCACTAGAGGCTTCGTAGCAACTTTGCATATCTTTCCCATCTGTTCCACAGTAGAAGATGGACCCAAAGATAGAAGGAACATTAGTATTTAACTGAAAGGTCTTTCTGGAGATAATCAACACAAATCATGTAAGTATAAATAAGTTATCTGTTCTTTGGTATTATGGCCTAAATTCTTTGCTCCTTGATAATCAATCAAAACCTCTTATTCAATGACTGAGGGAATTTCAACAGTCCCATATTTAACAATGCCGTAAAGGTAATGGATATCGCAATGGATCTACAGGGACAATCCGAGACAAATCCTGCTTTCCAAATGTAAAGATATGGCACCTGAGCCTTACTCAACCCCAAAAGCTAGCTTTTGAGGGGAGGATTGCCAAGTCCATATAAGGAGACCACCAGTCCATTCCCCAACCGATGTGGGACTTTTACCCACTCTAACACCCCCCTTTACGCCCAGGCCTGACTAGAGCGTGGACTGGGAGCCTAAACGGGGATGGACCTGGCTCAGATACCATGTAAAGATATGGCACCTGGGCCTAGCTCATCCCCAAAAGCTTCCTTTTGAGGGGATGATTGCCCAAGTCCATATAAGGAGACCGCCAGTCCATTCCCCAACCAATGTGGGACTTTTACCCACTCTAACACCAAATATGGGATGCTCAAAAGTCCACATAAAATGGGCTTGACTAATCAGTTTCATGGATGACAAAATCAACAAGAGTTTCATGTGCTACACGATCATGGAATCTAGAGAACTAATACCAGTTATTTGAACTGCACAACAACGTCCTGAATATCACTCGGTTGAAAATGAATGTAACAATTTTAATTTAACTCACTTGAAAAAGTATGAGATGAAGTTTCATTCCATCACAGTTATTGATTGTTCAAGGATGAATTTAGTAGGATCTCCTAGCACACAGATGAAATTCTTGATGAACAAAAAGAGCACTAACCTCTTCAGCAAACTATGAGTGAAGTAACAAATCAGAAAACATAAAATACTTGAGAAAATTTCAGACAAGCAGTGCTTAGAATTTTGAATTATATGAGGATTGAGTACAAGCTTAGGTTTCTTGTGGGTGTTTTTGCAGTCCTACAGATAGCTTATGATTATTTTTTTGCAGTTCATATAAAGAATAATAGTAGTGAATTTGCATTCACGTACTTATGTTCTTTTTAATCAGGACATTCACGTACTTATGTATGCTACCTTCGTATCAATTGCATTTTGCTTCTAAATGTTATATAGTCAGAAACATAATGAAATATTTTGATGAAGGAACAACTTTACTGAAACGTGATGACGTCCTTTCATTTGATGTCTAATAGCGTATATGAATATTCAAGATAAATCATTGGGCCCGGAAACAGAATTGCATAATAGAATAAGATCAATTGAAGCTTATTACAAGAAACGTACTTGCATCAGCGCCTCTTCACACCTCCCTGCACTACAAAGGCAACGAGCAAGGTCATAATACAAACTGGCAGTGCCCACGATTCCTCGTCGCTCCATGTCTTCTACTGCCAGTAAGGCCTCGTCTGTTTTCCCTTCCTTCCAAAGAGTACTCACAATAACTACACGCATCAAAGAAAACTTGATTCAGCAAAAATTCCTTGCAGCATGTCAACCAAGCACATGTTTCTGCATTACCTTTATAGGTCAAAGCATTGGGAACACATGACTTCTGCATTTTCTTGAAAAAGTCATGAACCAAATTGTATTTGCCACATTCGAACATAACCTGAATGAACACTTCAGTTTAGCTACTAGTATAATCAAACATATTTCCGTAACTAATATGTTCCAGGCAAGCACTAAAGCCTGCATAGAGGGATCCCATACCCCACACCAACCCAAAAGTATTTTAAAAAAGGGAAGTAAAAGAAGAAACAGTCCTTTCACAACAATAGAAGAAATGAGTAAAGGGGGCCAATCAGCTAGATTACTGTGCTATAAGATTCTCTCTCCTTTTCTTTTTTCTCCTCTGTTGAAATATGCAATATGCAGCAGGTTCTTCATTCTTCTCTCATTTATAGCTTAAATATTAAAATAAAATTTAAAGCACAAAAGATGCATATCATGAAAAGTTCATCAGAAGTAAGAAGTAGGATACACTATTAACCACAGTTTTTCAAAATATAATCACTATTAAATTGATCAATAGTTATCTTTTTCCAAATTGAAGTCCATTTGTAGTTGGACATTTACATGTGTAGAGGTCTTTCGACATACTTCATGAAAAATAGCTCTTCTAATTTCCTTGGCAAGTGGATATCCGAGAAGCTTCCAGATCTCCGGCTTGCTTTTTGGAGCTTAAGGGACTTGGCTATTAATATTATTATGACATATAGGTGTAAGATGACACTTATTCTCGAGTTAAGGGTCTATTAAAAAAGATAAGAATCTTCTGATGTTATGGATATAAATCTCTTCTTTTTTTGGATGAGGTGTTATGGATATGTATCTCTTAGAAGCTCTCTGTTATACCAGCTATACCAAACACATTATGTCATCTTGTACTTAATCTCATTTTTCCTTTGATGAAGACAGGAATTACATCATAAGAAGAAAAATGTAGCAATGTAATTTCCCATCTCAAGGACAGCATATACCAATTACTGCCAGATGTTAAGGGTTATACAAAACATGAGATGCCAGTTCATGTAAGTATTTGCCAACAAATGTCCGAAAACCTCCCATGGGAGCTAAGCTGCTTGAAGCTAATTAGGGTGGAAGTGACTCCTTGTTAAGAGAGAAAATACAAAAAAGACCCAATGGTTTGATAGCCTTCTAAACTGTCACCCCACACTAAAGTCTAAACACCTACAGAAAAAAATAAGAAGACAACTACCTCCATGACTAATCCATATGTTGTCATTGAGGGCTGCTCGTTCCGGAGCTTTAGCTGTTGCAGTACCCAAAAGGCACCCTCCCAGCTTTTACGGCGAACACAGGCATTTAGCACCTACAAGCAAGGAACAAAATTGTTCTCATAAATCTGTCATCTCATTTGAACCAACAAAAAATATACTCACACCTACAAGCAAAGAGCAAAATCATTCTCATGAGTTAGCATTTGAACCAAATTGAAATATACTGACTTCCAGCAGAAAATGACTGCAGCACGTTTTAGCATCAAGAACAAAAATTACACAAGAACTTCAACCAAGACCGAGTCACAGATCATTAGGAAGAGCTCCACATAGTTGGATGTACCCTTATGATTGTCTCCTCTCCTTTCCTTATCTTATGTATTTATTTACTTGAAGAGTTTATAGTTCAAAAACGAACTCTGTCAAGGAAACATATTTTACCAAAACAAGTTTAGCATGCAGGGAGCAATAGTACTGAGTTAAAATGATTGCTTCAAATTTTGGGACCTAGCTTCCACAGGAAAGTAGAGATGCATAGATTACTGGATATAGTGCTAATTAAAAGGGGGAATTACTGATGCATTAACCATTTAGCTATAGATCGTAAGTACAATTTTCCAGACATAGCAACGATAAATTACCAATGCCAAGCTGAATTTTTTTATCGTTTGGCTTCTAATTCTGCTTTGTTTTTCTTGTGTCTATCTCGATTATCTTTTCCTTAAAAATAGGGAAGATGCTAAACTCTCATTCTTTACTGAACAGAAGAAGTTCCCAGCATGATGGTGAAACAACATCACTCTCTTATACCAAATGATAAAGCAGTCAGAGCCACAAGTGCATTTAACCAAGAACAATGGCCCTTATTGCGTACTCTTCAATTACTTACAGAGTTATAGACGACAACATCTGGCTCAAGTCGTGGATCAAACTTCTCAATTATATTAGTCTTGAACTTCTTTTTGGGTGGTGACCGCATGGTATCGATGACGTCAAATAGTTCCTTCATATGTCCTGCTTGTCCAAGAGTGACAGCAATACAACGGTAAGCTACAAGGTCCGGATATGATGTTATGTGCTCCTACGGAAATGAGTTGAGGTTGGATGTATTAGTTACATATCACACAAGCTATCATCTCAATAGGACACAAGATATTGATTAAAGGAGAGATCAAGTCATGGAAATAAAGTTTATAGGTGTTACCTGCATTGCATTAAACAAGTTTAGTGCTTCCACTGGCCTATTTGCCTTTCCCAGTGCATCCAGTGCAGCCGTGTAAATATATCTTGCAAAAGAATTCAATCCAAGGGTCCATCAGCATCAATTTTCCATTAAAGACTTTGATCCTAGACCAACCAGAACAAAAGATCGGAAGGATGTGCCACCGAAAATATAATTCAATACTTAGAACAATTTCAGAACATTATTAGAAGGTTCATAAAGGAAAAATTACAAGATCAGGTAGATTCTTTTGAGAGTTTCATGTAAAATGCTTTCCTACGACACATTTGAAGGAAGTAAAAGATCCATGAGAATGATTACCGTTGAAGATATAGATAGTAAATCAAGCATATCACAACAAAAACAAAAGCTCCGACAAACTTATAGAAATGAAGCATTGTTATGTCACCTCTTCACATATATGAAAGTAATTATGATAACATCATCATACATAGCTAACTGTAACATAAGCATCAGCACCACATCTAAATCAATCACCAGTATCACAATCCCAAATCAAGAAAATACAGAATATATTTCAGGAATCACTAAGACCTTGCACTATCTCAATACACTAAAATGGCTATCAAGTTTCCTACTGATAAAGGAGTACGAAAAAATGGTCACAGAAAAGATACCTTAACTTGTGTGACTTAAAGCGCTCACGTGAACGAAGCCATTCAATGACTTGCAGCACCCGTCTCCAATTTCCTAATCTACCCAATATTTGGATAATCCTCAAGATAGAATGATCTGAGAATTTAATCTGAGCACTTCGCATCATTTGAGAGAACATCCACTCAGGCATGTCAATGTCCGCACCATTTAGACTGTACGAGTAAAATATTTTACTACGAGTCAGAAAAGAAGAGTATACTAACGAACTGCCAACTGTTAAGCAATTTTAGAGGATCCTTAATAACTACAACATAGGTCCTTTTTTGGGGAGATAAGCATCAACCTTCATTTTTTTATTCTGTGGTGTTTGTTATGGAATTTGGGAAGGAGATTGTGGGAATTGAATTATTTTCATAACTTCACAAACAAGGCACTTTTTCTGTAAGGCATGCATAAGAGGGGCCATAAGTGTAACTCAAACATATAGCTATCCTTTATGCACCATTGAATGTCAAATATAACTAGTTTTCAGAGATTCTTATCCAAAAAAGAGAAAAAAGACTGAGCATGACAAAGCACACAGATGCAATAAAGCATTAAGAAAAACCATGATTACACAATTTACCAATTAACATTTGACTCTAGAAAACAAACTTCAAATTAAACCAGAATTGGAGGAAATGCCTAGCGACTGTTCTGTAACAATGTGCCATTATCCCAGTTGTTCTAAGACATATAGTCTAAGTTAAGTTAGAGTTAGTATTTCTTTTGAGTTTCTTCCACACTCAACTTATTCGGAAACAGTCTCTTTACCTCTAAGGTATTGGCACCCTCACTTTTTACCAAAAAGTCCTGATGAGTTGCATCTATAATTTTATTGGGTATGCCATCTTAGTTGACTATCTATAATTTTATTGGGCATGCCATATTGGCCTCAACCATGCAACCTAGAGTATGCCTCATCGCCAACTGTTTATCCTATTGGGCATGCCAACTTCGGTTAGATTTAGGGGAAAGAATTGCTAGATGGAAAGTGTACAGGCGAGAGAGACTAACACAACATCAGAAGAAAATGCTATTTAGACATAAAGAGATGGCACCTCTTACGATACAAACAATACATGATGCAAAACGCATGCATGTTACAAACTTAAAGCAGCACCAACGATGGGAATCGCACTATCTCACATCAATATGTTCAACTTTAATTTTTTTTATCTGAAACGAAAATGTCAAAATTATCACCAGTTATTAATGGAACGGCTCCTTTGCAAATTAACCCCCAGAGTTGAGTATCCAGGCTATCTTCAACATTTATTTCCCACCTTTTTCCCTATTCCTATTTGATAATAAACATAAACATAATTGTGAAGCACTTAAGAGCTATGTAACCTGCTAATGGAAAAGAACAATTTCCAAGAGTTTAACCTTACTACTCAAGGTGAACCCAAAACACTACTGTTATACAGGTCAAAAAGTTTCATTATATACACCAGGTAGGTGCCAAAAAAATGAGTACAAGATGTATGTGTACTCTGATTGATTCGTACATCGTCTTCACTCTTCCACCACCAATTATTGACACAACATGGTATTTTCTCACTACCCCAAATATACAAGTGTATTATTTTCACTATTACGAGACAAATCTTCTATTCTGCTTATTCCATATACTTCACCACACTTCACATACTTCCCTATTTGGAATAACACAAAAAACTTGACATCTTCCTAAATGAATCCCATTCTCCCCTCGAAAATTCTAATAAAAACTAATATATCTTTATATCTTCTTTGTCCGAAAAGTATATCTTTATATCTTCACATTCAACAAATTTCCACTTGCTCACATTTCAAATAATTATTTCAAACCAATTTTAATCTTGTAACATATTCAGTCATTTTACTCTTAGCCTCTGTATACACAGGTAGCTCACTATGTTATGAAGGGTTATACCAGAAAAAGAACAAGGAAAACTACTCTAGCAACTCATATGTAAACCATATTACCTTATAGTAAACCAAAATCAAGGTGAAATATGACAGGTTCAATCAATTCATGCATCTAAAAACAATATAATAAAACAAAACAGAACATGTTAAAGAAACAGTATCACTACCACTAAATGAGGAATTTATCAAATGGGAAATCACCCTAACCAAAGTGCAAAACTAGGAATAACTCACCACTTTGCAAGCTTTTGGATTCTCTCTTCCATCTCTGCCTTAGTAACTCTTGGCTTATCATAAACATCTCCATCCATTGTCTTAAAAGCCTCTCTTTCCATACTCACCATCTCATCAACATTCTTGTCCTTACTTATGCTCTGTCTTTTCTGATTCTTCACCATTCTAAATTCCAATTTCCCACCACCACCACCACTCTCTTTTACAACTCCAACTCCTTCATATTTCTCATTCAGCTCCACAAAATCAGAACTTTCTACACATTTCTCCTTCTCAGACTTCACAAATTTGCCCTTTTCTTCACTCTTCTTTCTTCTAACACTATCCCTCTGTTTCTTTTCTTTAACAGACTCCATAGCTTTCAAATACTCATCAAATGAAGGCTTGAATTCAAGCTCTTCTCTATTAATTACATTATCTAAGCCACAAGAAACTACAATGGAACCCGCATTCCTCTTCTGCTTCTTAACCTTTTTCTTTCCCAGAGAAATTTCTAAAGTGGGTGTCTCGGAAATTGAAAATCCTGATGAAAAACAAGGGCAACGGAGGTAATTTGAACCAAAAACTCCATTGAAATCAGTACAAAGTGAAGCTCCAAATAGAGCTTCTGTCAAGATAATTGCCACCATCTCAACTCAACCACGCATTAAAGGCTGCACTTTATTCTTCTTCTTCTTCCTGGTTTGCTCCGTCGGCCGCCGGCGACCAAAGATAGGATTTTCCCGGCATGTAGTTATGAATGTTCAGTGCTTTTTGGTTAGCCAAAACTCAAAAGCCGTTTTGGTCACTTCCGGAATCGGGTCCAAATACGGGTAGAGATTAGCAGGTGGGTCCAAATCGTTATTGTTAAGATGTTAATGATCGAAATTATGTGCATAATTAATTTATTTGTAAGCATATAAACATATAAATTAAATAAAAATAATTAAATATATTAAAAAATTCATAAATTTAATAAAATAAGGTATTGCTTAATACAAACAAAATGATTATTTATGTTTCGGAATGATAACGGATATTAGTTTATAGTGTAATGTTAAGGGTTATTTGCTTGGAAACAAATTGTCGCTAGATAACTAATTTTGAGATAAGTTATTTCATTATATATGAGAGAAAAATTATATTATTAATATAATAAAAATGATAGAATAACTAGTCCATTGACTACCTAGTACCTCCGATCAGACATAAGATAAAATAATTCTATATTTTGTCATGAGATTATTATACATTATAACTCAAACTGAACGAGCCCTAAGTGCTTGTAATGGCTAGTTTAGTAGCTATCTGCTGGCTAGTAATGATGCCGATGAAGGTTGGTTGTGATGATGATTATAATGGTGAAGACGATTGATGTTATTAGTTAATGATGTATTGATGCCAGGTGATGGTGATGTTACTTCCAAAGAAGGAGGTGATTATTACATTGGTCGCGATGGTGATAGTGGTTGAAATAATAATAGAGATTATCGTAACAATAATGACGGTAATGAATATATTACAAAGATAAAGATAGTAACGATAGTTTGTCATAGTTGTTATAATAAAGGTGGTCGATGGTAATGACTAATGATTGACAATAAAGACGATTGATGATTTACCTAAGGAACACAAGTAAAGATTATTCACATGAAATATTATTAATGATTTTAAAAATTTGTTCAAAATTTTAATGATTAAGACATACTCATAAGTACTTAATAATATAAATAGAAATTTGAATAATTGAAATTCAGACAATCATTAAAAATAATCAAATGAAATTTGTTGAAAGTAAATAAATATACCTCGTTCTTTTAAAACAAAACACTTATAAAATGTTTTTGATTAGTATATTAATTAACGGAATATTCTGATTATTATTAAATGTTGTTTTGAATTGTTAGAGAGCCTATCAGTGAAGTAAATTAAATGAAGATGCAATTGAAATCATAGAGAAATGATCATAAAATTAAGATTTTCATTATATTTCATAAATAAATGTTGATTTCAAATTAAAATCCCCAAATCATACTGTCAAACGCATATTTAACACTTATTAGTAATTTATTTCTAATTTTTTTAAGCTATTCTTTGCTTCCAACACCCCACTTATTAGAAAAGAATTTTAAGAATTTAAATTTGAGATTTATGGAGTTTAAATTTATTATTCTACTTCTATAGTACTTTCTCTATTTCAATCCTTTTAAAAAAATATAATTTGAATTGATATGAAATTTAAAAAATTATAGATTCTTTTAATTTTGTGATCTTAAAGTAAAGATAAATAGAATGTATCATAATATTTTTTAATTTTATGGTGTTAATTATTAATATGAAAAATTAAAATCAAAGAGTTACTAAAAACGAAAAGAGACATTCTTTTAAAATAAACTTTAAAAAAAATTTTAAAAAAAATTAAAGATATGAAAATAATTTATTTATTTATTAAAAAAGAACCATATGTATTGGGTCAACAATGATATATTTAATATAATCATAAAAGTGGAGTTTAAGTGAGGTAAGTGTAAACGAAGACGGAAAGACTGTTTTTGATAAATTATCGAAACAAAAATTGTCCAAGTAAAAAAGAAGTAACATGAGTGAAGAAGCCACGGCAAGAAATTTTTAAAAAATATAACACATTCTTAAAAAAAATCAATAACTACAACTAAATAAGACCATAAATCTGGTACAAAAAACAATAAAAAGTAACATAAATTGAATAACAGTTAACAACAAGAATAATTCCACAATTACTACTATAAAAGGATATACTAGATAAACACTCAAGTGTAATTAATGTTATTCATACCCTTATCTCTAAGATCATGTTCTCGATAAATTATAATTAGGTCATGTCATGTCCGCTCATATTTCCTTAATATTTCTTTGATACCTCTATTTCTCCTGAACCATCCATAGAGAGAAGCTTTCTTTTTTCATATGTTTTGAACTATGTAAGTCTCACTTATTATATCTCGTCTATCATCGAAACTACTCTCTACCTTATCTTGTATATCTTCATTACTAATCTTTTATTTTTCTTAGTAAAGTGTTCCAATAAGACACTTACGATTTAAATTTCGTCTCCAGCATATAAAATTCTTGATCGGTTAACACTCTACTTCTTACTCCATACAACATTCTCAATATAACCACTTGTACTCACCTTTAAATTTTAGCGGTATGATCTTATTACACGGAACTATGGACGCAAGTCTGCTTAATCATATGCCCAAATATAAAATAATAATTATTTTGGATTGGGAAGTAACAATAAATAAATAAGACGAAGTTAGTTTTTGGGAGTAAATTTATCTTCAAATATTTGATAGGCTAATATTTCAGTAGTCAAAAATTAGCTTAAACTAATTTTTGAGTTTACACGAACTGTTATTCATAATGTTTTCCTTTTCAAATAAAATGTAAATTTAAATTTTTAAAATTGCATTTTCAAAAATTTAAATCTTTAAATTTCAACATCAAAATCTACTATGAAACGGGATGGAAGGAGGTATGAAAATTTGGCATAGTTTGAAAAGGATTTTTAAAGCAAATTGTAGTGGGAGAGTTGACTAATTTTGCAAATTAATCGACCGTTGCAGAACATTTTTCTTAAATTTCTAATCTCAACCGTTCATCTAAGATCATCACACGTAAGCAGGTGGGACCAACTAAAATCCTACGGCAAAGATCAGTTTATGCAGGAAGAAGAACAAATTCAAATTTCAAAATTCAAACAGCCATTAAAGCTGCGACAAGCTTCCCTTTTTTTTCTCTCTCGAAATGTATAGTGAAATCCTCAAAGTATGAGCCTTTTCTTTCTCTCATTTTCAACTAATGATTTGTCTCTTTAAAGAGGAGCGTCTTGTTCGCACGATCACAGAAACGACAACACGACTCATAAGCTTTCTTGGCTTTTGAGTAGTGAATTTTTTTTTCTTTTTAAAGGGTTTTTTTAGAATCGTCAAAATTGAATTACCTGTGAAACCCATTTGAGTTTTTCAGCTTAAACAAAGAGGGGAACCTCTCGAACTTTTGAGGGTAATTGATTTTATAGTGGGAAGGTTATTAAATTTGAGGTCCACTTTCTTTTCAGGGAGAGAGAGAGAGAGACTACATATAGTAATAAAGTTTCGGTTTTGAGCTCCAACTGAAGAACCCCATTTGATATCTGTGATGATCAATGCTGAAACTTGGTGTAGTAGTTTCAGTTTTTGAGCTTTGCTAAAATCATCTAGAGTTCTCTGTTTTCTGGAGCTTATGTTTTGGTGTAGAAGTTTAAATTTTAAGCTTTGATTAACTAATTTAGGAGTTCTCTGTTTTCTGGAGCTTATGTTTTGGTGTAGAAGTTCTAATTTTGAGCTTTGATTAACTAGTGCTCTGTTTTCTGGAGCTTATGTTTTGGTGTAGAAGTTTTAATTTTGAGCTTTGATTAACTAATTTAGGATTTCTCTGTTTTCTGGAGCTCATGTTTTGTGTGTCTATTTTGAGCTTTGAGAAACCTATTTAGAGCTCTCTGTTTTCGGGAGCTAATGTTATGGTGAAAAGGTTTCATTTTTGAGCTTTAAACTTGGGGTTTAGTTATTTGATGAGAAAATTGCATTTGTATGTTCAGGGATTTAGAGTTTAATCCATGGAAACTTGGGGTTTCTGAGTTTATAACTGTTCAAGGTGTAGAGTAGAAGGGGTGAGGAGTCTTTGTAGTTGTTCATAATGGGGGAGGAAAAATCATCAGAGAATAGAGTGAAAACTTCAAAATTTGCTGATCAAAATAAGGCACCAAAGGGTAGTAATAGCAATGTAAAAGGGAATAACAATATGTCAAAAGTGAGATCTTCTTGGGGTTCTCAAATTGTGAAGGGTTTCTCAGGGGAGAAAAAAACCAAGTTGCAGACCATAATTCATGCCAAGAAAGAGTTGGTTCCTGGCAACGAAAACTCAAACCAGAAGAACTCTTCTGGGATTTCGCAGCCAAGGGTGAAGAGGTCTCTAATGGGAGACTTGTCTTGTTCAGTCGTTTCCTCTCAAGTTCATCCTCAAACAGTTAACATTCACAGGACTAAATCTTCCGGTTCGCGTGATCTATTCAATGAAATTGATCATTTGAGGAACTTGCTACAAGAATCAAAGGGGAGGGAAATGAAATTGCAGGCTGAATTATCTGAATTTAAGAGGAGTCCAAAGGTGGTTGAGCTCGAGAGGGAACTCGAACGGAAGAAGAGTGAGATTAATAGCTTTGCCAAGAAAGTTGAGTTGATGGAATGTGAAAAGGCAGTCCTTTCTCATCAATTAAGTTCATTGACTGCTGCTCGAGAGAGACAAGATACGAATTCCAATAAGGAAGATTTCAAAAGTGTGACTAGTTTGGAAATGGAGGTTGTGGAGTTGAGGCGCTTGAATAAGGAGCTCCAGCTTCAGAAAAGAGATATATCTTGCAGGCTGTCTTCCATGGAGTCCCAGCTAGCCATTGTTGGAAAAGTTCCAGAGGTATTTACTTTACTACTTTGTCTTATTGAACTAATATGAGATAGGAATATCCAGTTTGCATTTTCTTGGAAACCCAGTTTTGATATCTCGAATTTGAATAACCTTGATGAATTAATTGGCTGTATATGCCTAAAATGCATAGTTTTCTCTAATTGTTTTCAAGTGATATACTGAAAAATGTGGTTCAACCCGTATCACTTGTGGGGTTACACTGGGTATGTTGTTGTTGTTGTCGTATCGAAAAAAATTGAATTTGTCTAACATTGGTAATTGGCTGGCTTGATTATATCTTGTTTCACTTTATTCTTATCAGGGAGATACAATTGAGCACATTAAAGCAGAGGCTTCTTTGTTGAGATATGAAAATGAAAACCTTTGCAAACAAGTTGAGGGTCTTCAAATGAGTAGGTTGAATGAGGTTGAGGAGCTTGCCTACTTGAAGTGGGTGAACTCATGTTTGCGAGAAGAGTTGCGCAGCTGCTCGTCCATGACATGTGATAAGACTTCTAGCCCTCATGGTAGTGAGAAAAGTAGGGAATCACTTTGCTTGTCTTATGATCATAGTGATGAGGACTCAAAATGTAGTAGTGCGAGGAGGTTAAGCCTCGTTAAGAAGCTAAAGAAGTGGCCTATTACTGATGAAGATATGCAACAAGTAGGGAGCCCGGACAATATCATTAATCATAGTTGGGAGGATACACAAAGTTCTACTCGCAGGCACTCGATAAGTGGATCAAAATTTTGTGTTGAGGACTTGATTTTTAATAAGAGAAGGCAATCAGATGTCTTTATGTGTTCCAAGGAAGTGGAAAAGGAGATTGAGCCTATTGTTTCCCAACATAAATTAACCAATCCTTTGGAGGTCGAGAAACGTGTCTTGCGGATTCCTAATCCCCCTCCAAGGCCTTCATCTGTTGCTTTAATTGAAGAAGAAGGAGAAAATTCTGTTCAAGTTCCTGGTCCTCCACCACCACCTCCCCCACCTCCTCCCCCACCACCTCCAAAACTTATGGCGAAAACTACATCAGGCATGGTACAGAGAGCTCCTCAGGTTGTAGAATTTTATCATTCACTGATGAAGAGAGACTCGAGGAAGGATTCATTAAATGGAGGAGTATGTGATGCGTCAAGTGTTTCAGACGTTCGTAGTAGCATGATCGGTGAAATTGAGAACAGATCATCTTATTTGCTGGCTGTAAGTTCTTCCTCTCTAGTCTTCTCATTTCTATTATTGCCAATAAGGCACACTAACCATATCAATGACCAACTAAATTGCACTCAAGGACTTGAGATATCCACTGTATCTGGATTTCCCTGATTTTCCTTTCTGATTACTAGTCCAGCAATAAGGAAGTTTCAGATTTTTTCATTTAGTCTCTGGACTTAATTTTATTCCTGATTGCATATTATTGTCCCACTTCCAGATAAGGGCAGATGTTGAAACTCAAGCAGAATTTGTGATTTCCCTGATAGCAGAGGTCAATAATGCAGTTTATTCAGACATCGAGGACGTGGTTGCTTTTGTGAAATGGCTAGATGATGAACTTTGCTTTCTGGTAAGTTCAATGTGTTAATTATCTAATGAAGTATATCAGCATAGAGAAGAATGCCTTTATCTACTGTCACAGCAACGAAAAGCTTGTTATTGTCTCATTTTAAAATTTTTGGTATTATTCATATGAAAATGAAGAATAACTCAAAGAAAAATCATGCATCTATCCTAGTTCATTGTAATGGTATGACATTAAGCTCAGTAATTATTATCAATTGAATTCTTAGTAGCAAAATGCAGTTCTCAGGAAATTTTACCAAATGTTGAGGAACTATATCTGCTATATTTCATTTCACATTAAATAGATGCTTCAGTCTGTAATTTACTGTTAATTTTGATCATTGCGCCTGCACTGTTCTGAAGGTGGATGAAAGGGCAGTACTAAAGCACTTTGACTGGCCAGAGAGAAAAGCAGATACACTAAGGGAGGCAGCATTTGGATATAGAGATCTCAAGAAGTTGGAGAATGAAGTTTCAACTTACAAGGACGATCCTCGATCGCCATGTGATATTGCACTAAAGAAGATGATTTCTTTGTCAGAGAAGTATGACCTCTTACTTTGTCGTAAAGTAGTGTTATAATTTGGTACCTCCTTGTCTTTCTGCCAAGAAAGTTAAATCTTTCACCTAATTGTCCAAATTTAATCTTCACATTGCAGGATGGAACGTAGTGTCTATAACCTTCTTCGGACACGAGACTCATTGATGCGCCACTGCAAAGAGTTCAAAATCCCCACACACTGGATGCTTGATAATGGGATATTAAGCAAGGTCAGTTCTGACTGTTCCAAGTAGAAAATAATCTATTGATTTAGATCTTCAAATGGTAATAGAGCTTGAATGATACAATGAGTATCTAATGAGATATAACTAGCCGGAACTGGAAGTACACAACTAAGCAGTATGCTAACATGTTAAATTGTCCTAAAAAACTTTTATTTATGAAGTTAGTGAACTGTATTATGCATGTTATATAGTTCACCACCAGAAGGGAATCCGAATAATATGAGAAATTGATATGAGACAGATGATGAGTTTCAAGATTGTACATTATCTTTATGTTACATCCTGGCATGCCATTTTCAGTATCTCAACATTTCAATATTGAAATTGCTCATCTATTTCCAGTTTCATTCTTGCATATGTGCAAGTCCTCCTCTGCAGAATACTGAGCAAAAAAATACAGTACCTTTTTTCTTGATATCTAGTTGTCATTTTGCATTGGGACTTAATTCAAAAGAAATTATGCAGATAAAGTTTGGCTCTGTGAAGTTGGCTAAGGTGTACATGAAGAGGGTAGCTGCGGAGCTTCAGTCCAAAGGACCATTAGATAAAGACACTTCCATGGACTACATGCTACTCCAAGGAGTGAGATTTGCTTTCCGGATTCATCAGGTTTGTCTGATATTAGTAAATGCTGTCTTGTTGTGAATAACAGGATTTTACTACAGATGAAGAATAGATTGGTAATTCACCTGCATTGAATTGTTGTGAATGTCATCTTAGTTTAGTTTTTATCTCCATTGTTACAGTTTGCAGGAGGATTTGATGCAGAAACTATGCAAGCTTTCGAGGAGCTACGAGGCCTAGCACTTTCATTAAACAAGAAATAGAAGATAAAGATTTTTGTGATGAAGTACAATTTTGATAGAGGGCTTACCATCTCAGTAACCATCAATCCAAGTATTGACACATATGTATTAGAGAAAAAATAGAAGGTCTCTGTGGAAACATGGTTGACATCAATGATATTCCTTATCATTGATAATTGGTTCATGTTTTTGTATCCAATTTTTTGCTTTTGGTTTGATGGAAGTAGAAAGATCAGATCTCAAGTTTTCAGTATATTCTATATAAAGAAAGCTTGGTGAAAAAGCTAGAACTTTTATGCAAGTTTTCTATCATATCAATTTACTAATTGGCTTGATGAAATAACATATAATTCCAACGTTATCTTTGGACCTTAATTATTTTCATAAATCAGTGTAATGGGGTCCGAGTAGGGTGATGTGTAAATGTAGAAAGAATATTTTCGAAAACATTCAAGAATGTGTTAAAGAGATTATAATAAACGAAATGTCCAAGATTTGTTTGTTTTGGCTCAACTGTCTTGTATGATAACAGCAGCTGCAATGGCGGACTCCACAAAGATGCTATTTTTGGCTTTATTTTCTGTTTTTTCTTACTCTTAACCGTCTCATTCTAATTCTTTTTTCATAAAATTTGGGTTGCCTTTGGTTCTACCTATCTTTGACAGACTATTTCTCTTCTTTCTCAAAATCATTTTTCTCTTCTCCAATGGCGAAATTTCAGAAAGTGAGAAGTTAACATTTTTGTAGCTCAAAGTTCAATTTTTATTAGACCCTTTTTCATGTACTTTTAGAATCTCCTTTTTACATGTTCTATTTGATTTCCTAACAGATATCTGAAACTCATGGTTCACTCATTGGCTGCTCTAGAAATTACTCCCTTTGTCCCAATTTATGTGACGCAAATTGAAATTCCAAGAGTATGACAAGTTTTCCGGATTTTTCAAAATGTTTTTTCAATTATTAATTATTGTGATTCATAGAAGTTTTTACATAGTTTTCAAATATTTAATTTTATTTCAAAAACTTGAATCTTCTAGGTTCGAACTCAAAATTAAAGTTTTGATGTTTGAATCTTGAAATTCCAACTATGCCACTTACATTGGGATAGAGGAACTAATAATTATGATGCTGCCCCCGGGGCGGAGCCACGTGGGTGTAAGGGAGTTCATTCGGTGGAAAATTACACTTGTATACCTGGTTAAAATGATATATTTTATGTGTGTACGGTAGATGTTGAATCCTCTTGGTTTTTTTCGTGTATTTACTTCTTCATAATTTGAACCCCCTTCATGAAAAGTTTGGCTCCGCCATTGGCTCGAGCTTGGAGCTCATGCTTTAGATTTTGTTCCCATAAACTGCATCATTTGTCCCAATATGTTATAGTCTATTAAGGCAGAATAAAAGTTCATGATATTACTTCTAGCATAGATGAAAACAAAGTTTAGTGCTCTATTGAATTTGTACCTGATTAAGTGTGTGTCTGTGGTCTCCGATAGCTGCATTAGTACTTACATTACCTATTTCTGCTATACTTTCAGGCAAAATGTGTACGTGCCAGAGATGACCCTTATTTCGATGGAATGCGAAGAGGTGAAACAACAGCCATTAACAAAGGAAGTGGTTTAGACATCCTTAGAAAAGTCACTATAAATGATATAACGAGGTCAGCCTCTGATGTTGGTAACAGGGGACAGAAAAAAATTACTGTGAAATTATCTGAAAATGATGTTTATAATGATAGACACTCTCCTAATTCAGCTTCAAAAGGTATACATGAATCTCTTGGTCGGTCATTATCTGTAAGGTGGTCAGCAGCATCCAAATTGAATTCCCCTCCAGTGAGAAGCCCGCGGACTGGTCTGAAGATTGATCTGCATGATGTAGATGAGTCTTCAGTTCAGTCTAGTCCAAAATCATCTGATGTAGAGTACCACTCACCTGGTGGCTTGACTTTGCCTGCCTATGAAAGATCTTACACTGTGACCAAGAAAAGTAGAACTGTCTCCGATATTCCACTTCCTCCATCTGCAGCATCGTTCTACTGTGGAAATTCAGCGCAGATGGAAGTTCTTGGATCATGTCAAGGAATTCACAGGCTGAATATTTTTCTAAAGGCAAGAAGAGATTATGTTAGTGCAGGAGTACCATCACAATTCTTGCATGCAGTGATTGGACCGGACTGCTGTGGTAACATCCATGAACCATTCATTGTCTAAATAACAGTAATCTCCGTATTAACATGTTACAATGTCTCAGATGGAAGTCCTTGGATCATGCACAATTTCTATTACGACCAGTTTCTTGATGTTCAATTCTATTTAAACAAGGTAGAAAACAAATTTATCCAAATACTAGGCAAAGAATACTATTCTGGATCCAGGATGTCTCCAACTGAAAACACAAACTTAGTAAAATGAGTGCAAAATCCAACAGAGTAAGAGGCTTCTGGACACAAAGTAACAAATGGTCTAAGCCTAAAGTTGAAGAAGTAGATCCTAGTAATATCACATTTGATTTTACAAGTTTGCTTCATTATTAGTACAGATATTGCTTAGTAAATGCATTAGTATTTCTGATTGTTCATCTTTATGTTTTGAGAAAGTTGCACTAGCTGTTTTCCAGATTTTGCAAATTGTTTAAATTTATCTCTTTCATTAAGTACCACTTTATAGGACTAGAAGTACATAGATTGGAAGCAAATTCAACAACAAAAAAGAGAATTGATAAGCTTATATAGTCCTGTGGCATTATTCATCTACTGCAGTAGAGAAGGAACAAATCCTAATTTAGAGAACAGTCAATTTCAGGGGGGAAGTGTGTCTGCGACCATCTGACAATTTGAGTCTTACACTGGTTGAGCTTAATTGTAAGTTTGTTTGCATCTGGATGCAGATGTTGGATCTGTTGCTTCAACCATAATGTATGCTTTTTACTTGAATGAAACATTAAATGATGACAAGTTATGCACTGTGCCTGTCATCAACATGAAAAGGTCGGATGTTCATTCTCATGCTGAGCTCAAATGGCTACTTGATTCTTGCTTTGTTGATGAATCTTCCTTAATTTTCGTTGATGAGGTATGTTCTATTCTATATATAAAGTTAGGAAAGGAAATGAAATTTAAGTCTAGATTCTCTAGAATTACGTCCACATAGTAAATGAAAACCAGGAATGGAATATACTCTAAATATGATCAACTAATTTTTTCTTATTAAATTGATAACTTGATATTATTTGAACAGATTGACCTGTCCTACTATGAATTATATGGGAGTCTTCAACTTGTTTTAGTCAATTGTAGCAAGCTTCCAGCTAATCAGGAGGTACGCATTCTTTTTAAGGGTGCTGAATTCCTATTAATGAGTTAACTGATGATTACATACTGCTTACTGTATCAGGCATTAAAGGATGCAGTGGTTGAAATCTTCAATTGCAGAGAGGTCTACTTTTATTTTGGTTTCTTGTTTTTGCATCTCCATTATGCTTGTGTCATGTCAAGTAATAAAATCTGTTTAATAGAGAGGCTATAATCTAATCTTTCTGTTTATGCAGGAAGATACACCTTATTCTTCAGTTGCTGCTGTAACCATTGGGAAGGTATCTTTCTCAATCTGTTACAAATATGAAAGGAAGTCAACATACCAATAAATGTCAGCTTCCTCTTAAACTAGTTAACAGAGATTAATATTGCTAAGCAGCACTAAGTTCGACTTCATTGTGCTCCTATGAATTTAAGAATAAGAAGAGAAATTATAGCAGGAGTTAGCAGACGTTGGAGAAAGTACTGTCATCTCATGAGCTAGCTTTTGTGGTTGAGTTAGTCTAAGGTTCATGTGTTAAAGCATATCAAATTTTCAGGAAGGAACCAAATGATTGTTCTTATAAGCTCGCTTGACACCTTTTATATGTACTTATTAATTGTAGGAGGCATCATGCTGCACTCTTATTGCTGATAAGTTTGTACTAACTTCACCAGAGATACTAGTGGGTCAATGGTTCAGTCGACTTCTGGTACTAACTCCAACATCTTGATTTACCATTGTGTATGCAAGTTCTAATGTCTTTCTGTTGTATAATCTCTGTATAAATCTGATTATATGTGCAGTTGGCAGGTATCCTCATGGATACTGGAAATTTGACAAACTCACAGACTACAACAAAGGATAAGTACATGACCACTTTATTGATAAATGGGGCAGGTCGATTTGGATGCAATGGTCTTTATGAAATCTGTAGGTTATGCAGCTTTGATAGTCATTATATTTAGTAACTATCCTAGATTTCTAATTCCAAGTGATCAGACTCATATCCTAATTAAAACTTTGTCATTTTCAGTGAGATACAAAATGCATGATGCAGCTGATGCCAGACGAGGAGAGGTTTCTCGAAAAGATATTAAAAGATTGTCAAAATCAGATGCAGCTGATCCCAGAGTTGGAGAAGTCTTAGACATAGATATTAAGAAATTGTCAAAAATCAATGTAGCTGACCCCAGAGTAGGAGAAGTTTTACAAAGAGATGCTAAGAAGTCATCAAAACTCAATGCAGCTGACCCCGGAGTACGAGAAAATTCACAAAGAGATACTAAGAAATTATCAAAATCCGATGCAGCTGACCATGGAGTAGGAGAAGTGTTACAAAAAGATACTAAGAAATCGTCAAAATCAGAGGAAACTGATCACAGAGCAGAAGAAGTTTTACAAAAAGATATCAAGAAGTTGTCAAAGTCAGATACAGCTGAGCCCAAAATGCAAGAAGTTTTACAAAAAGATAATATAAATTTGCCAAAATCGGATGCAGCTGACCCCAGAACAGGAGAAGTTTTACGGAAAGATATTAAAAGATGGTCAAAATCAGGTATTGTCACCAACTTCTCTTTGTCCTAATTACAAACCTTTCCATTTCAAAGCCATGCTTTATTTAAAGCTTTCATTGACAACTTGTGGGATTACACTGGTATGTTGTCGTATAGATGCCTTGTCCATGTGTGCCACTTTAAACTAGATGATTTATTTCTGATATGAGTCGCTTCTATAGAAAGTAATTAGCATCTCCTTGATACTACTTCCTGCCTAATGCAAGGATAAATCTGGCTACAAACTCAGTTTTTCCTCTCCTTTTTTTTTGACAAATATTTGGATAGCAGCAACTCTTCTGGGAAGTAACTATAAAATGGTCTACGGACTTCTGTGGAGTAAATTGATGTAATCATGTTATGGTTAGAATTTACAGATAACTTGAAAATTTGAGAAACTTCCTAAGAGTTTTACATTTTGAGATCATGTACATGATATGACTTCAACGACGTTTTTAGTGTACTATTTATGTGGACTGACCTTCAGAGTTGGAAGCAGGGAAACCTGGTGGTACAGGATCAAGAATGGGGAACTCAAATATTGGAATGAGTTCAGTTGGAATATCTATAGGAGAGCTCTTAACACATCACTCTACTTCAGCTGAAAACATAAGAAGTTTCCAGCGTAAGTTATTTGATTCTGCCCCTTTTTCAGTTTGGAAGCATAATATTTCAGTCAGTAACCAATCACACGATAATTGTCATCATATCATTCTGGAAGAGTTCATCTTCTCTTGTGTGCCAGGATGAGGGGGCTGGGTGCTGGGATGGTAGAGAATTTGAACTTTTTTTACTATAACTCTTCTGTCAAATATAACTTTCACAGTAGAGAGATAACACAGCTTGGCTTGACAATCATTTTCTTTTGTATATGCAGAACTAGAGAAGCTTCACATCCTCTTGATCGTTTCAGGGTATTATGATGCAGAGAAGAGCTTCAAGGTTTACTGACTTACTCTTTGAGTGCTTTCTCCATTTTGTGTCTGTCATCATATCATTCTAGTTTAGCTTTATACTGTTAGTGCCTAGGGGATTAGTACTAAATTTGTGTTCTAAAACAATGTAAATCTGTTATTTCTAAATTCTTGTTGCGACTTTACTTATATTTGGAAACAGAAGAGAACTTAACATGATCCAAATGGAGCTTGCTAACCGATGTTGATGATGGCATAACAGCTTCAGATTTTGGTAAACGAGATCATGGCTATAATTGTTTTCTTTTTTCATGCTTCTGTAAACTATAACATGAGAAGGCCACATCTTGAATTTGCAGTGAGTTTACATATTAAGGGTAGAAACTAGGATGAAGGATCATAGTGCATAGATGACTATGTATTGTGTGTACTTGTATAATCTGGATATATCTTATATTTGATACAATTTTGTGGATGTTCAAGCAATCTAATCATGTTCCTGGCTTTCAATTTTAGAGGGAGATTCTAGTCTCAGCTGAATCTGCTGAGCTTATGAAAAGCCTGCTCCATTTTATCTACTCCTATGCAAATTTACTACCACTCAGAGCGTTGCGCCAATCAGGTCAGTGAGCTATATTTTTTCATATAGAACTTGATCCATCTCAAGATTATATTTGTTTTGAAGGCCATATTTTGCTTTTTTTTCTGCAGGTCTACCTGCTGAGATGAGGGTGTTCGAGATTGAAAAAATTGTATCAAGGAAGACGATTGAGAAACTTCTGGAAGAATTCAATGAGAGAGCAAAATAATACTACAAAGTTTACAGGTCATCCCACATTTGTTGTTGCATTAACAATATTTCATGTCCAATAATAACAGTCAACAGTACGCATGTGTTTCTTTCGTAGTTGCAAAGAACCTATGTATTGAGGTAGTCTCTATGCCGCCACATACATGGCGATAATTACTTTATTTTTTTAAATGCTCACACCAAACATGTCGAAAGGGGCTTAAATTTCTTCTTATGGAAGTTATTAAGCCAGTGATGATGCTATTGTTCATGATGCCTCCATATACTATCAGTCTATTGCAAACTAAACTTTAGTATTTGATATATAAGTTGTGGTTTATTTCCTTCACCTTTCTTTTACATGAAACTGTATACATGGAAAAAGGTTCACTTTTCCTAGGCAATCAACCTTTTCCTAATTTTTTCTATCCAAAAAAGCTTTGGAAAGTTTCCTTCAAGGTTGGTGGGGTGTTGTTTTTAACTCAACTTAGTAAGTGAAAGACGACTTGGAGCATGTTGAGAAATGACCTTAGCAGTGTCTCTCCACCAACATACCTCTTTTTCTTTGTCTGCAAGTTTTTGCATGGTGGATTCTAAAGCTGACTCCAGTTCTTTGATCCTTTCTTCTTGCCTTGTCTGTAGAAGCTCATGCAGCCTCCTTTTCAATTCTTCGGCAGGAACGCCACAGTTAGGGTTGTAGACCTCTGCAAATTTTGTGCTCTGGCTTCCTTCCCCTGAGCTATATTCATCCACAATCTGCCACAAAACAAGTATAAAAAATTATACCTTTTTTTCGCGATGCTCATGCTAAACTAAAAGCAATTGACTATAGTTATGTTATACTCAAAGGTGGATTACCTCTGCATCTGGTTTTGTTGGATATTTGAACATAATATCTGAATCTAAATGGAACTGCAAACGTTCTAATTCGACTTCAAGCTCTGCTTCAAGTTGGTTCATTTCCGAATTCTTTCCATTTCCTTTCATCAATTTGCAGTTTAAAGGGTGATCATCATCATGGCTGCAAGTGATTTCTGATTCTTCTTCTATATCAGTTGAGTATGCAAACTGTTCAACAGAATCGGAATCATAGTGTGAGATTTTGGTTCTTAAATTTGATGCACCAGATGGATTACTTCTGATTCTTCTTTGGTTTTGTAACTCCATCTTGGAATTATGAAGCAGGATTTCCATTTCTCGACGAATCTCAACGATCTTGTTGAGCTCATTCTTGGTAGAGTTAAACAGATAAATTAGACCAAATCCGATGCCTAAGTTCATAGAATCTGCTTTCTTTTCGCCTCCTGCATGAATATGTCGATTAATGTGTTTCAGGGAAGATCAAATCACAAAATGTAGTATGAAATATATAAATCTGCTTAGGCTTATTATATCACGAATAAATTTCACTTAATAAAGGCAAATTCTCATATGGATTGCATGTTAATTCACTTAATAAAGGCAAATTCTTATATGGATTGCATGAGACTCTCTACTTGAAGTAAGAAATTTCATTTATGTTACTGCAAAATGAACAAATTCAATAATTGAATCTTATTTATTGAAATTCGAATTTTCAGATATCATTATCCAATTTGAAAAATAAAAATTACTTTTTTTTTAATTTCACGATAAAACATGGTCAAATGCCCACGCAGTATGTCTTAGTTTTCTATTTCAAAGCAAACATGGTCATATCCAATAATTAATACTATCTCAGTCCACTTTTATTTGTCAAGTTACATTTTTTTAAAGTCAATTTGACTAATTTTTAAAATTAAATTGATTACATTAATTCGATATTTTTTTAAAAAAAAATAGATATTCAAAAACTATACGAAAAATACTATAAATTATAACTTTTTGCATATCAATATGATGAAAAATATATCATAAAATTTTTATCAAAGTTCTTATAATTTAACTCTAAAAAAAATATGACAATTAATTATAAACGGATAGAGTATATGGACAAACTTCTAAAAATAACTTATTTTGAAAATAAAGTACATGAACAATTTGCATTTGACTAATCTATTTAAAGACCACCATCTGAGTTGTGTTTGACTAATCTTTTGAAAAGTGACTCTAAATTTATTTTCTCATAAATAATTTCGAAAAGAGTATTTTCATGGATTTTCATTGAAGCTTCAATTTTCAAGATTATTTTTTTTTCCTGTCTTTTATTATTAATTTGTTTGTTGAAATTTCTTGTCAGAATTAGATTTTAAGAGTAGTGCAATGGCGAGAGTAATTTTTCAATGTATCAAGTAATTACTTTCTCCGCTCTTTTTTATATGTCATTCTTATTAAAAATAGTTGATCTGTAATATTTAATATTTCATAAAATTAATTCATAAATTATAATATTCTTTCTATTATACCTTGATAGTTGATTATATTTGACCAATCTATGAAAACTAATAAGTAATTAATGTTCATTACAATGAACATTAATTACTTATTAATTTATTAAGTTGGTCAAACTATTATTCAAGACTAATTAACTATCAAGGATATAATAATAAAAATATTGCGATGACATAATACATATATTGGACCCTAAATTTTGCTTTAAATTTTAACTTTGACCTCCAACTTTCATAATGCACAAACCGTCACTTTAGTTATTCAACTTTTAAATAAATAAACACATGACTCCTATATGACACAATACACGTAAGACACCACGTAGGACAAAAAATGTCATGTAGGACATGTGTGTCTATTTGTTCAACTTTATACAAGTTTAAGTGTCTATTTGTGCACATCCAAAGTTGAAGAGCATAAACGTAATTTGAAGCCAAGTTATAAAATACATTTATGTATTATCCCTATTGCAATTTATACATTAATTTTATAAAATAACAAATATCATGGACCAACTTATGCCATGGCATAATAATAGTGAATTATTCAACGTTAAAAGAGATACAGTTTTTTTTTTGTTTATATTTTCTAAAGTGACAAAAGAGTTAATTGATCATATTTACAATTATACTGTAAATGAATTATATTTTCAAGAATTATTTGAGAAAAAATTAAAATGGCAAAAGTGAAAAATTAATATTAAAATTTTCTTTTGAAATAAAGGAAATGGCTAATTACTGAGAAAATTTTAAATATTAAAAGGAGTAAGAATATCAACCAAAAAAAAAAACAGATTATAAAGTTAAGATATTATTATTATATTTGGATCATTATGGTCATAAGAATTATCTCTTTTCTTATTTAATATTTTCCCACATAAACATTTATTCCTTTCCAGAAGTTCCATCAAGTACCTCACTTTTTTATACTCTCATTTAATTCATATTATGCACACCTATTATGGGAAAAAAATAAGGATATAAATTAAATATTACTTTCCACTTTTACTTTTTTAATCATTGTCAAATTATTTTTAAAAATAAAATTATAAATATAAGCAATTAACTCTCTTGAACTTTATCATCTAAAAAAGTATAAATAAACAAATATATAAAAAAAATGGAACATTTATCTTGAATTATAAAAAAAAATTGCAAAAATTCAATTAATATGAAATGGCAAAAAAAATAAAATAAACTTTTCACCTCTTGATTGGCCAAACATAGATTAAAACGATGAGCAAATGCCTAGCCTTAAATGACATCAATATGATATTTTTTCCATGCACCTAAATTTTCGAAATGTATACTCCAATTATTTATTTCTCTTTAGCGTTTGGTGGCTCTCTCCCTGACTTAAAACTTTTTTAAAAATATATTTCGAATAAACATAATTTTTAAATCTTTTGGTATATGTTCATGTATTTAAGTCGTAACAATTTAGCATTTAAAGGTAATATCTTCTTCGTTACTTATTAAAATGACTCATATATATTTTTATACACAATATAAAATCATATATGCATTATATTGTACTGTTTTGTTATCATATTTACAATATATTGTATTATATTGTTAAATTTCGTTGTTGAATAATAATAAAAATTCTCATTTTATGGAACAATTAATTTGATGTGTTCTTATTGTAACTTAATTTCTTTTTCTAATTATATCCTGACATAATATATCATATAATTCTAGTTAAATCTCTTACTATAGAATTATTAAGAATATTTTGGTAAATTTTATAAATTACAATACAGTATGATGCAGTCAAATCATACAATAAAAATATCATCAAACAACAACGAACAATAGAGTCTAGCCAAACACAGTAAAATATAATACATTTTGAAACAATGAATAACAATGATTCAAACAGACTGTACCATCAAAAATTATGATAAAATAGATATAATTTTTTTTTCTCATAATCAAAATTCTCGAACTTCCAAACTTTGAGAATGAAATTTTTTTTATTAGAAAGTGTTTCACTGTTTTAATAAGAACTTTATGCAGCTCGAAGTCATATTAATGGGAGCCCAAAACAGAGCATCAAGGTGAAGAACATTTACCTTGATCTTCCAATGCGGTAGATGATTTGGTGTCAAATCCCGTCTCCTTCTTCTTCTTCGTCTTCTTCCCCTTATTTCTGGTGCTTCCACATTGAAGCTGATTCACTTTCTCTGCGTCCTTATTTCTCTCCCCTGTTTCGAACCACCGGGAGAAAATCCATCTCGGCGATATACAAGTAGTAAAACTCCGGCTACAAGTTTCCGATCTTCTTTTTCTAATCTCAGTACAAGCCCTAGCTGTGATAATGGAGATACTGCAATAATCATCGCCACTTCCCATTACGATTTACTGTTTTATAACCTGAAATCACTCTCTTATGTGGTAATCTAAATGTATTTTGGGGATCGGAGAGAACTCATCAGCTTCTTATTCTTTCGATTTTCGAAAAACTGATTTGATTTTGAGGTGAAAGGAGGGAAATTTTTTGAAAATGAAAGGTTCACGAGATTCATCACATACTAATTTATGAGCATATCTGACTGCAACCGAAATTCCATTAATGACATTAAATTACTTGAATTTCTATTTTTATATTAGCTGGAAAAAAACATAAATGTAATATTATTATATTTATTTAAACCCAAAAGAAAAAAGCAGAGAAAAACAAAAAGAAAATTCCATTCCTTACTTGATTTTTAAGCACTAATTATTAAATGCCTAGCTTATGCTTTTGAATTATATTTAAACTTAACTTGCTTTGCAACAGTACTCTCTTCTCTCTTTTGTTTATTCTCTCTTTTGTTTATAGTTTGGCTTAAAAATGTCTTTATCGTCAATAATTTAATTTAAAAATATCTTTAAATTGCGCAAAAAGAATAAAAATGTCTCGTTTGTATTTTGGTCCAAAAATACTCGTCATTAATATTTCGATCCAAAAATGCCCTTATTGTTATTTAATGAGTCAAAAAAATTAGTTTCCAAATAAATATTGTATTATTTTCTTTTTGACACATTTTTTTCAATTAATTTTTTTAAAAAAATAGCAAATGTTTATCTTACTTTATTTCAAAAAAAAAAATGAAACAAATTTTATTTTACCATCAATATTTTTTATTATTATATAAATATAAATTAGTGATAGATATACTATCAATTTATATATATGGCATATATTATTTATCAAAAGGATACATGAAATTATTCCATTTAATTGATGAAATGAGACTTAGAAGAAAAAGAATATTTCCAACCATTTTTATTTGTCAAAGTGATTTTAGAAGAAAGAAACAAGAATAGTGTTCTTTAATAATATTTTAATTAGGAAGAAGATATGTTTAAAAAGAAAAATAATAATATATTTATTTGAAAAAAAGCATTTTCGACTCATTTTGTAACTATTGGGGCATTTATGGACCAAAGTATTATTGACTGCAAGGGCATTTTTGAACTAAAGTATTGACAGTAAGAGCATTTGTGCGCCAAAGAATTAACAGCGTTTTTGTTCCTTTCACACAGTTTAAAGACATTTTTTTTAACCCTTTTTCCAAAATAAGAGTTCAACGAAATTTTTCTTTTCAAGCTTTAATAAAATGTGGCATTTTTTGGGTAAGAGAATTATTTTTTCCTCTCACTCGTACAGAAGTCAAAAGTGCTAATACCTAAAATTAAATGACGTCAAATTGTACAAAGAAATTATGTTTTCGTGTAGTTGAGGTGGGTAAGTATCAATACCCTCTAAATAATACCATAAATTATTGTTCTATTTTAAGGACCACAAAGCATATAGTATTAGTAATTCATAGTATTTGATTCAAATCACAGTTAACAATCCCATTCTAACGACTGTTATTTGCTCAAATCAATGACATTCATCTTACAATTATAAACGAACATTCAAATACATACAGAGATTTGATATAAATGCCGATACGAATTATTTAATTTTTGTGTGTAGGTCATCTATCTTGGCCGCCTTCCTAGTGTAGTAGCTCTTCCTAACCATTGGTACCAGCAAACTCCAATTAAGGTTTGATGATTGTAATAGAGCTAAGGCAGTCAACAGGTCAAAAAAGGAAACAGTTCTAGATGTCTAGTCTCATAGAAATAAATGGCGGAAGATGCAATCATTTGCATCCAAACAAGGTTAAAACACTAAATAGGTTTTGTAGGAAATACATGATAAAGACATATCTGATGATGGAGTCTCGAGGATTCATCATCGCTAGCTCGAATTTAATGTTCTTCTGCAAATTCCTCATGACAATGATGATGCTAATGCTCGGAGAAGTTTGCTAGTGTGTTTTACCTGTGCCAAGAAAAAGTTTCATCAGATGGGAAAATTCAGATGTTCAATAAAGTTTCGTCATATCATTGTTGATAATGTTTCATATTTCACTTTAGCCAAGTTCTGTCACATATATAAACAGAAAAATGGCAAGATCTCAGAACCAGCATAGAGGAATTTTAGTGACTCAAGATGTTTTACTTCAGTAGATGGTATGCAGATCCAGCATGGATTACAAAATATATCCTGAAATAAGAATTTGAGCCAGCTACTAGAGGAATACTCCATTTGAAACTATCGAGAGATATTATAGGTGAAACGCGTAGAAAAGCACCAAAATCTGTTGGGACTTGAGAGGAAAAGCTTAAGTGAGGTCATATGCAAAGAAAAACACTGATGAATAATATTAAAAATATATATGTAGAGCAAGGAAAAATAACTACACAAAAAATAATACTACACTAATCATTTGGATAGAAAACTTAACAGAACTACTATGATTAAGTGAAACTGAATTTCTAATTTGGATGTAATTCAGTTGTAAGTCTTCACTAACTATTCTTCTTTTCTAGTTTCGTATTTCTAATTTCTAGTTTCTTATTCGTAACGATTAAGAATATATAAAACAGCATTTTGTATCAATCCGTCAACTAAGTTGACATTTACTCTATAGTCTAACTTCCTAAAAATGACAAGGACACTATTTAGCTACTTGATGCCTGAGCCAAGGTGTCAATTAAGCAAGGCAAAGCGCCCAACTCGGACTTCACCTAGCTTCAGAGTTAAAGTGCACTTTAAATGAATATTTAACGATTTCTGAGAATAGATTATGAATGATGCAAATAATAACTTAGATATTTCGATAGCTAGCGATGTCCAACTTATTTGTGAAGTTCCTAATGCTGATTTGAATTCTATGTAGCATTGAATTCAACTCAAAAAAATACATAAGGTAACAAAAATATTAATCTTTAAGCAAATCAAATCTCCCAACAACTTAGGCAAACATACATTTTTCTAAAGCCATGTCTTCGGGAAGTTCTCGATGTACGTGATATGTAACATAGATCACTCCCGGATGCCCTCAAAGTCCATATATGGAAAGATCAACTCTCCAGGCTACTTAAATTACTTTAAATGCTTAGACTATTTCTAGTCAAGTATTAAACTGAACAATCAGCTATCCAGGTGCCTGACTAGAGCCCGGGTAGCACCGTTACTTCAATTATTTGCTTCACTTTGATGTAATTAGATTTAAATACAATCAGTCAGTTAAGAAGGCAATGCATTACTTTATCATAACCTTGGCCCAAAACATTTTATGTTCTCAGTACAGTCAGAGCAGTCATTTGTGGCGAGCGCCATAGTGATTACAACAGTAACATCAATAAAAATTTCTCATGAGCACTTTATTCTCATGTATTACAACAAACTACAAATTGACTGCATCCAGAACACTGCATAGTTGTTTCACTTGCATCTAGTAAAATCAAAATGACAGGTGATTCAACTCAACTTCTTTTGGGCAGGCCAAAAACAACTTGCAGCGCATAATTTTACCTTGGTTAAAATGCGAGTATGAGCTATAGTTCAGAGTTAATAATCTCCTCAACTGAGCCTTTGTACCTCGAAATAAGATCCCTGTAATTAAGCATGAAACATGACCATCAGATGAAGCAAATAATAATTATACAAATTTCAGTAGACAATATTAGAAACACACACACACACACATATATATATGTGTGTGTGTGTGTGTTTTATATATATATAATACAAACCTTCGCTGATTTAGCATTTGTTCGCACTCTGCCTTTTTGCGCTTTTGTCCCTCAACTGTCTGTCCAAAGAACACAGGACTGGTCAATTATCTTACCCATATTTAAGCATCAAAACATGCAACCAAATAAGAATTTGTGGAGCAACTTTGTTCAAGTCAACATCGTTTCAAACATATTGAACCCCACTTTTCAGTAAAATTCTTCACAACTATAAGTTGAACAAACAGGCCCAAATGGAAAAGCACAATTAAAAGCAATAACACAGCCAAAAGAAAAACAATCCAACTCTTCCAGAAAAGAATAATTTTGAAGTTCTGTTTTCATATTATTGCGCTTAACTCTTTGTTGGAGTCTCTCTCTTTTTTCTTTTTATTTTTTGAGTTGGGGGTGTGTTCAGAACAAGTTACAACAGAAATCAAAGGATATGTGTGAAAATGAAATACCATAGATCTTGAGCTAATAGACCCTGATATTGATGTCAACAGCTGCTGGCACTTCTCAAACTGATTTTTCAATTCAGTTACCTGGTGAGGAAAAATACACCCGGTTTAATGTAGAAGAAATGGAAAACTAACATATAATGCATCAATCAAGAAATGAACAAACCAATGCATCTGAGTGCTGATCTCGATTTCCATTTTCAATTGTATCAGCTAAATTCTCCACCAGCTGTAAGATGACAATAAAAGTTAGAACAAAAGGTCTCACTAGGAAAGAGAAATGTCTCGTTACTCTATTAAAATAGCAAGCTACAGATCATGGTTTTTGCCCAATACTTGTAAAAGATGGAAGTGAGAGGCAAGTGATTGGTGGTGCTGTTGTTGTTGTTGCTGCTGCTGCTGTTGTTGTTGTTGCTGCATTTGCTGCTGCTGTTGTTGTTGTTGCTGCATTTGCTGCTGCTGCATCTGTTGCTGCTGCTGCATTTGTTGCTGTTGCATCTGTTGTTGATACCGTTGTTGTTGTTGCTGCTGCTGCTGCTGTTGTTGCTGATAGAGCTGCGGTTGAATGAACTGTTGTTGTTGAAATTGCTGTTGCTGAAGAAATAAATTGTCTTGATTGGAGGGTGTCGAAGGATTACTGTGAGTTTGGATGTTGGGGATCATTGTCCAACTTCCTCCTCCAAAGTGGTCCATAACTAATGGCTGTTGAGCTGAAATCTGTTGGTACTTTGGTTCTAAAATGGATAAAATTAATGTCATCAGATGTAATCAAGTACTACACAAATAGCCAAAACTATCAAAGCATGAACTGGCCTAATGGACTGAGTAGCAAAGAGAAATAATTCCTAAGATTCTGAAATGTACAAACCACTTCAAAAATATATTTCCCATCATTCCTAAATGACATTTCATCCACATCTTATTACAAGAATAGTTCTTTTGTACCAAAGAGAACAAAGCCATCAAGTGAGACCCTCTAAAACTGAAGCCCATCCCTCGTAACAAACAGTAAACTCTTCTTTGAAATTTAACAAACAGTAAACTCTTATCTCCAAGTAAAAACTACCATGACATCTGCATAAATTTGGTGTTCACATTGTTAAATCAATAGGTACATCGGAAAAAATTACTGCTGCAACTATGTCTTTTTGATAAGGTTAAAAATTATCCTTGAATGGGCATCGGGTAGATGCCAGATTACAAAATATGCGACCGCTTAGCTCTAATTCGGAAGGGCATAAAAAAAATCTCAGCACTCATACAAGTATCCTAAACTAAAGCTAAGGAGCTAGCAATCCCAAGCAAACCAAAAGGGTAGATAGTTATTAGTATGCACTAAAAAAGTTTACAAAACCTAAAACTGTAAAATTAGATAGTTATTAAAGTGAGAAATGAATCAATCCCAACTGCACCTCTTACTCTTTATCTCTAATTTAGCTCAGTAATCAAGAAGTATGCCTCAATCCCGAATTAGTTTGGGTTTACTATATGAATTCTCTCCATTAGAACCCCATCTATTCCAATATTCAATAATTTAGGTTTTCATAACCCTAGAGGTTCCCTATTACTAACATACAAATATCTCTCTATCTATGAAATTAACAGTTTTAGGTCAAAATCACAACCTCAAAATTTCCAACAAAAAAGAACTCTAAATCTTCTGAACAGAATCTTCGTTTGCTATAACACTGACAACCAAACCCTTGATTTAAGCCGCCACAAGAGAATGAATTCACAACTATACGAAGCTAAACTTTACTGAAACCACAACTAGTACAGTTAATAACAAAGCAGAAGTACGATGAGAATTACAAAACGAGAAAGATTACCGGAGATGAAAAGGCCCGATCCGGTTAAACCCCAACGGAAAATCCTCTGTTTTTTCAAATAGCAAAATTGAAATTACTCCCGCTGTCCCAATTTGTGGGGAGGTTTCGATTTCAAGAGCAAACAAGCTAATTTAGAAATTTTAACATTTTCTATAGTATAAAATTTAGTATGTATTAAAAAAAAATAGATAATTTTTAATAATTAAAATACTAATTCAAAATACATAAAACTCACTTTTCATTAACCGATTTGATTTATATATGAACTAATATTTTAACAAACTGAAATAGATTGAACTAATAAAAAAGTAGATCACTAGTGCATTCAAATTTGAATGAATTGTATTTAAATTAAGAGGAAACAACACAAAACACACATTTACATTTGTGTTATTTATCGGTTGAAACTATACTTTCTAATTATATTTTCTCTTAGAACTTTACAAAATAGATACATATGAGTCAAAATTAGATATAATTTATTCTATACACTTGATATCTAAGCATGTTTCACATGTATTCAAAAGTCATTATAAAGAGATTGATAAATAAGTACAGTCAAATAGAAAAACTTGCATATGATGTTCATTGATTGGAAAGTTTTTTAGACAGAGTCTTGAAGGAGGTTTTTTGGAGATGTTTGGAAATTGGAGGTATGTAGAAGTCTGATATCAAAACGGACACTTTTTAAACCCTAAACACTAAAAGGGACCCTCTATAAAACACACACCAAATTTTTTTGGAGGTCCCTTTGGGTGTTTAGGGTTCATAAAATGTATGTATTAATGCCAGACTCTATGACGTATATTTAGAAGATCAAGGACATGTATGAAGGAGTCAAGACCTAGAAGAAAAAAAAGCACTTTTCCACTATGAAGAGGTTGCACCAGACATCAACTTTTAGATCAAAATCATTTATCTTGATGATGAATGAATTAACGCGATATATCCAAGAAAGTGTATGATGAGTATGTTACTCGCCAAATAGTGGCGGAGCCAGAAATTTCGCCGAGGTTGTTCAAACTTTAAAAGAGTCGATAATTTTTTTAGCGAAGTGGGTACACAAAATTTATTTTTGCAAATGTGTGAGAAATTAAATTACACATCACTTAGTAACTAAATCTTGCGGAAATTTAAAATGATAAAACTATCGATGGAATAAATCAAAACTAATGGACAAAAGTCACAAAATAATTTTTGCTTGAAATATACTCCCTCTAGTTCATATGAAATAAATTGTCGAGTGTTTTTTGTAATTTAAATAACTGAATAGTTCAAATATCGAATAATGTATGATGAGCTTGAGTCGAGTCACAAAAAGGGCTATGATGAGCCTTTTGAGAGTGACTTTCACGATTATGATGAGTTTTTTTCTCCTATTTTCAAATTCTTAACTATTTTACTTTTTCTAAATAGAAAGATACTTTAGAAATACTCAAAAGTATAATAATAAATAATAATCTTTAATTTTTTCTTTAAAATAAAATCTTGAGAATGTGTATACCTAATAAGTCACTTAATACAGATCTCTTACACATAATTGAAAAGAGAGTGTGTTTTATGTTTTAAAAAACATGTTGCAACTGAGGACCTCTTGCACGTAAATGAACATGCTTACCAGCAGACCAATAGACTTTGTCATAGGTGTTCAATTAATTATATATCGCAATATTATATAGCATTTTATTTATATATAGGGTATAATTTGGCCAAAAACATTTTTTAACTATACCCGAAATCTAAACTACATCCTTAAATTATTATTTTTAGCATAAAACATCATTTATCTATACCCCAAATTTAAGCTACATTCTTAAAGTATCATTTTTAGCAGAAAACATCCTTTAAGTATTTGTAAGTGAACAACTTTCATCCTTTTGTTAGATATTGTCAAAAACTAAGGGATCTTACAAAAACATGAGCAGTTAACGCGACTATCAACAAAAGTTATTATGTATAATTTCATTATTTTCTACAAGAAGTTCTTGAAAAATATAAAAAATCTTAGACATTGTTGCTTATGGAAATTAAAAATGATTGAAAGGTGTGAGCGTACATGATTCGCCTTTTCCGTAATTGAAAAAGGTTGGAGATTAATTATTTTGAAATTTTAGCCAAAATCATCATTAAACTATACCTCAAACTCAAATTACAGCCTTAAAGTATATTCTTATCATAAAACATCCTTAAAGTATTTTAAAGTAAATAATTTTCATCCTTAATTGATATATCCCTCAAAAAATAAGCCGTCCCTTCCTAATTGTTATTCTTATATATGCCAAGAATATTATCGCGAACTTTTTCTTAATTGAGTTAAGAATTATGCAAAATCTTTTAATTTGACCGTCTTTTTCATTCATTTTTCATATAATTTTAATTTAAAATATTATTAATTTAAATAGTTTCTTCTCAATTAAATATGCTAGAAGCGACATTTTTTGGAGACTTCCCCTTCAAATAATGTAGAATGAAACTCAAATACAAGACATAATCAATATTTTGGTCACTTCGATATTAGATTGACCCAAAAATCTAATAATTTAATTGGTTAAGAAAAAGATAAAAATAATTAATCTCCAACTTCTTTCTGTTGCGCAAAAGGCAAATCATGTACGCTCACACCTTCTAATCATTTATAGTTTTCATAAGCAACAGTGTCTAAGATTTTTTATATTTTCAAGAATTTATTGTAGATTTAATGAAATTATGCATAATAAAATTTGTTGATAGTCACATTAATTGCTCATGTTTTCGTAAGATCCCTTAATCTTTTGACAATATCTAACAAAAGGATGAAAATTGTTCACGTAAAAATACTTAAAGGATGTTTTCTGCTGAAAATGATACTTTAAAGATATAGTTTAATTTTGAATATAGTTATCTGCTAAAAATGATATTTTAGGGCTATAATTTAAGTTTGACATATAGTTAAAAAATATTTTTGGCCAAAACTCAGTGATCGCTGACCACCCTTCCATACCGGTAGCTCCGCCTCACCAATGAGATAATTTTGATCGGATAGACTCATAGTGATTTTTGATACTAAGTTGGAAGTTCAAAGACAACTTTTGATGTCTAAAGAGTCATGTTGATTAAAACCAAGACAACATACTCTGCGTACTGAGGCCAACAATGAATACTACCAATAATTATATATTATAAAATAAAAAGTTACCTAGTCAGAAATATTGAGATAAAAATAAAATTTGTATACATCACTTTATTTTGAATTTCACTATATGAAATTAATTTAAATAAACTATTGTTATCGTTAGATGTAGAGAGGATCAAGTTTTGTTATTTGCTCTAAATTCTAGTGGCACCTAAAAGTTAAAAATAAAAAATAAAAAAGGCAAAGGGAGGAAACAAAAAAGTTACCGGCCACACGAAACATTCCAATGGTCAATACAAGTTAACCCACTGTCACACGGATAAAAGGAAGGGTGAAACTGATAAGACAACAATTGAAGTTACATTTGACATGACTAGTTGAAGTGATATTACTTTAATTTGTCCTCACTCTTTGGGCCCCATCCTTCCATATATTTTGTTTTCATAAAATAAATTAGTCGAGTGTTCGAAGCACATATTAAAGCATGAGTGTTAATTCGAGATGATATTTCAACAATACATATCACTATATTATTATAACTCATATTGGTCTCATTATCTTCTTTTGTTCCTTCTCTATGGGCCATTACATTTTCCTATAAATGGTCTAGCAACTCTCCCTTCACTATTTCTACTTCTTATTTTATGAGTACAAGAAAATTAGAATTTCTAAAATTCTTTAAATAATAATTTATGTGGTAATATTGCATAACAATCTTTGCTATTTATTGGATCTAATGAAATAAATACTACTACCACGTTATAATACCATCATAACTAGGTAGACTATAATTCAAAGTTTTATTTGTAAGTTCTGGAAATTTACACATTAAACGTTAAATAATTTGATCTTCTGAACCAAATCACAATATATTTAATTTATTCACACTTATACACGAACTTTACTTGTGGAGTAAAAAAGAAATAAAGAGCTTAAAAAAAATAAATATCTTGTTATTATTATTTATTAATGATTTGATTTGTTTACAATAATATCCCTTTACCTTATTTAGTTGGAAAATGTTTTTGACATTTTTGTTATTTTATACCCGAAAAACTATTTTTGCTAATGTTATTCTACTATAAATAAAATAACTTATCTTGATACTAATTATTTGCCTTCATATATATTTATTTTTACAATCAATAACTACACAAGAGACAAAATTGTACTAAATTTTATCGCAACATACCAAAATTAGCCCCAAGTAATTGAGATATTTTCTCTGGAAATTATTTTTTCTACAAAAAGGGTTAAAAATATCTTTAAACTGTTCGAAATAATACATAGCTCAAAATATATCCTTAAACTATATTTCGACTTAAATATGGTCTTCTCATCAAATTATAGGATCAAATATCCTTTCTATTAACAGAATCTATTAGACGCCGCTTGATGCCGAATGAAAAGCTAAATGAGATAAGTGAATTTATTTTTTATTTTCTATATTTATATTAGAATTCGATTAATACAATTTATATTTCATTCAAAAACAACACTCGACTACTTCTTATCAATAATTTTTTTAATTCCAAAATTCATATTCGAGACTTTGAATAACCTCATCCGGTACACCGGACCCTAACGCGAGTGGTATGAATCAAATCATGAACCCATAAGAAGTAAAACTATTTGCACTCTTTTACATCCTATATATAGCGAGTCTTAACAACTTCAAAAAATACCCACACAAAAGTAACACAGCCATGTTAGACGTATATAGTACCATTAATTCCGTCTCACAAAACTTCTCCCTATCATCGGCGCCGGCGCCGACACTACCACTACCGCCGCCTTCGTCACCACCGACGGTGAGCCGTTACGAGCTACAAAAACGGCGAGACTGGAACACATTCGGACAGTACTTGAGAAACCACAAGCCACCACTGATACTTGCGCGATGCAGCGGAGCGAACATTCTAGAATTCTTAAAATACCTAGATCAATTCGGAAAAACGAAAGTTCACAGCTGTAATTGTCCGTTTTTCGGCGATCCTCATCCGCCGGCGCCGTGCAATTGCCCGTTGAAACAGGCGTGGGGGAGCCTTGACGCGCTAATTGGGAGGCTACGCGCTGCTTTCGAAGAGAACGGAGGACGGACGGAGACGAATCCGTTCGGTGCTCGAGCAGTGAGGTTGTATTTGAAGGAAGTGAGAGACACGCAAGCCAAAGCGAGGGGGATTGCTTATGAGAAGAAGAAAAGAAGAAATATTAAGCAGCGGATTAGTAGTACTATTAATAATTGTGATTAGAGTTTGAGAAAAATAAAATAAAAAATGAAGATGCTATATATAATTAATGGCTTTAATTATTTGGAATTTGAATTAATTAGCTCGTTGGAATATCATGTATATAAATAGGAGTACCATGGAGTTTGAATTTATTATCTCATATTTCAATCGAGCAATTCAAAGTTGATCTAGAGTAGTGGCGAAGGCTTCGAAAATTTAGTAATTGATTCAACAAAAAATGAAACTCGATTAAGTTCTACTATTCCTTTTTAAGGGTTTGATTCCTCTTTAAACACTGAAATTTTATACCACATGACATGCGTTATGGTAGAAGTTAGCATCGAGTTAGATTGAGAGGAAATTAAGATTTTTCTAAAAAAATATTTAAAGGTGCTTTGCGTATATATTTAAAAAACACTAATATATGATTCATATCACGATTTTGTTTAAAAAAAAAACATGTGAATACTTTTAAGAAACACTAATATTTCGTACTATAAGCGACTTCATTAGTAATTGGCTTATATTAAGTAGTAAGTACCAATTAAGGCAGATTAGCGTCGTAAATCATATTTTAATTGTAGTTCATTTTTTTTTTCAATTACTTCACGGTATACTGATCTTTATTATGATCATATAAGCATGTGAAAGATAAACTAGAATGAAAGAAATCATATTATATTCTCTATTATCTGGGGCAGAGCCAGGTAGGATCAAGGGGTTCATTCAAATCTCTGTCAACAGGTGTTTACTTTTCAAATTTGAATCCGTTAATAAAAATTATGACTCTATCACTGACGTTTATATTTCCTTTTAATAGGGAAAATCAGGAAACAAGCACACCTATTTATTTTTTTTCAATTATTTCAATTCATTCTTAATTTGTTACCTCAATGACAAGTTTCCACTAAATAGCTAGCGATGGGACATGTAAATTCCAAAATGGAAAAAAGAATCCTACCCTATTTCCTAATGTTAATAATTGCTGCTAGAAAAAAAAGTTAAAAACTTGCTTCTGGATTGCATTAAAATGATGTACAAAAAGCACATTATATTATTCTTCATAGAAGAAATGTGGTAGAGAAAAAAGGTGGACAATAATTGTATTAAGATTCTTATTTTTTGGGTTTTGAATTTGTGGTAATGAAGCCATTCCTTTGTGTAATGGAATCAGTTTTTCATGTTTTGGTCTTTAAATTCCATCATTGCATAATAGGTTTTAGTTTGCCACTAGTTGTATTTTTGTATGGAGGTTCAAGACAGTGTATCTAGGAAAGGAAATTAAAGTCAATAAGAATATGAATATGTATGTAGAAACAAGATAATAAGATAGGATATCCATCGAGACTTTATCGAAATATATTTCCAAGAGAGAGGTAAGTAATGTGTACACTTACCTGGTTTGAAACGGTCTTCATTCAAGCAATGGTAAAGAAGAAGAACGAAATGAAGTGAGAGGCCGAGCAAAGAAAAGAGTCGAGTCAATTTGAAAGGATATCATGCTATGGAATAACACTGGATATGTGTTTGTACTTGTGTTGTTATCCATAATATTTGAATTTTAGCATACAAAAAATGTTAGTTAATGGATAATGAAGTTTTGAACATCTCAATTGAATTTTTACAGTAACACTCCAAAAACATTACTTAGTAGTATTTTATTTAAAGAAAAACTAAAGGGATAAAAATGACATTTTTATGTGATGCATGACTCTACTAGTTTGGTTAGAAAACTTATAGTTTTGGTCAGACAAAGCATATTAATGTATTCAGTTGGTGAATCTTACAAGATATTTTTTTAATCAATATAACTTTCCTTTTATAATAAAGCCTACTACTTTTGAATGACTCATGTTGGAGCCCTTCTCCCCCATAATGGTTGTGTTCAGGTTAGTTTGTGTGCACTGGACTAATTTCACGAGTTTCCTGACCTTTTCGACCAGCATCAGATAACTCTATTCACCGAAGCTAGATTTTTGTCTCGATTGAAACTTACAACCTGAAACCTCGTGATTTTCAACTCACTTCATCCACGCCCCCACACCCTTGGATGGTCTCATGGTAGAGCCATTTTCTGCAGTGCTATGACTAAGAAAACTGCTGAACTGAATGGAGATCAGAATTAAAAGCTTTATTTTGTAACAGATGCACATTTCCCTGTATTCTGTTATATGAATGAATCAAATGAAAGAATCAGAAAACAAAACACTATAAATGGTACATTTCTCCTCCACTTGTAAGGTCAAGTATAAATTAATCAATGTTGCAACACAAAGATGAAATGCCTATGCTACCTGAAATGTGGATACAGTGCACTTAGCTAAGCTCTATGCTTGTAGTTGGTTAATAATCAACAGAGTTCTGGGGATGATGACTGTTGTATTTGAAGATTCATTTGAGGAACATAACCCTCATTTTGCAGCTCTATTAGAAGATTGTCTAATAAAAGATATATCTGAGCAGACTGCGGGTGACTCGCATCTGCAGCAACAAAAATATGAGTGCTGTTGTTAACTTCAGTCCAGCTGTAACCAGGTACTTTCTGCACTCCTCTTTCCTTCATCATATGTCGAATTTTAGAAACCATATCCCATTTGCCAGCGTTAGCATGTAGATTTGATTGTAACATATAGTAGCCGGAATTTTGGGGGTCCAGGCTCAAAAGATGCTCAGAAGCCATTTCAGCAAGCTCGGTATTGCCATGTAATCGACAAGCCCCAAGTAATGTCCCCCAAATGCCTGCATCTGGAGCAAATGGCATGCTCTTAATCACGCCAAATGCTTCTTCCACGAGACCAGCTCTCCCAAACAAGTCAACCATGCATGCATAATGCTCTGTTCGCGGTGTAATCCCATATTCATTAGTCATGCAATTGAAGTAGTGTTTTCCCTCTTCAACTCGACCAGAGTGGCCACAAGCAGATATGATCGCAAGAAAAGTGACGTGGTCAGGCTGGAATCCATCTTTTCTCATTCCATGAAACAAATTCAGGCAGTCCTTCAGTCGGCCATGATTTCCATAAGCTGCAATAATACTATTCCATGATACTTCATTCTTGTGTGCCATTAAGTCAAATACGCGCCAAGCTACCTCTAAGTTCCCACATTTAGCATACATATCTATTAACGCACTTTCCACAAAAAGATCAGAGCTTAATGCACTTTTCATAACGAAGCCATGGATCTCTTTCCCATAATGGAGAGCTGGCAAATTCGCACAAGCAGAAAGAGCACTGGATATGCTGACACAATCATACTTGGCTCCAATTGCACCCATCTGTTGGAAGAAGTCAATGGCCAATTCCGGTTCAGCATTCTGGCAACAGCTCGTGATCATCGAATTCCAACAAACGACATCTCTTTCAGGCATCCTTCTGAAAACTTGTTGAGCAAGATCCAATCTTCCACACTTTGCATACATGTCCATCACCGCACTTCCCACATAAAGTATTCCTTGAAAGCTGCGCTTAACAATGACACCATGCAGTTCCTTACCTAATCTCAAAGCAGCCAAACCAGAACAAGCGGGTAAGGTACTTGCTAGAGTAACAGGATTGGGCCTCATATTCTTATTAAGTAACCATCGGAAAACATCTATGGCATCAGAACTCATGGCATTAAGAATAAATCCTGAAATCATAGCAGTACAAATAACAACATCCACCGCAGGGCTGCAGCTAAATATGTTGCGTGCTGCCACAACATTCCTGCACTTAAAGTACATGTCAATAATGGCATTCTTTAAGAAAACATCAATAGATACATCATTTCTCACGATATAACCATGAATCGCCTTCCCCTGGTACAAATCTTCCGATATAGAAACAGAGGGGAGCAAACTGGCAAAGGTGATAGAGTCTGGCTTGACACTGCTAGCTACCATTTCCCGAAATAAATCCAGCGCCTCATCGATATACCCATTCTGTACATACCCTCCAATCATCCCATTCCAAGTCACACGATCTGCTTGTGACACTAAATCAAAGATCTTGCGTGCATCAAACAAGGAACAGAATTTAGCGTACATCGCAATCAATGTATTAGCTACTGGAGAATCCATTTCCAACCCACATCGCACAACAAGCCCATGAAGCTGACAACCAAATTTAACCATTGTTTCCGACGCACAAACAGAAAGAACACAAGCATATGTTACTGAATTAGGCTTAGTTTCACTTTTCCTCATTTCCATAAATAACCCAACCACATCATTCACAGACTGTTCATCTTTAGCATAACCATTAAGCATCACATTCCACAATACACTATCCCTTTGATACATTTTGTCGAACAAAAGACGAGCATCATCCAAACAACCATTCTCCGCATAAAACTTAATAAAAGCACTACCTACAAACACATCATCCTCAAAACCTAAACTTTGTACCAACCGATGTAGCCATTTACCGAAACTCACAGCATTTACACCAGCACAAGCCTTAATCACATAAGGAAAAGTGTATTTATCAGGGTAAGTACCAAACACCAACATCTTAAAGAACAACAAGATTGCAAGATCAAAACGACCCATTATTGTATACCCTCTAATCATCCAATTCCAAGGAGAAGCATAACACAACCGAAGCTGAAAAAACAATTTCTTGGCATCGATAAACCTGTTACACAAAACATACATCCCCAAGATTCTCGTACCAAGAATACCCAAGTTGTCAATTCCATTTACAGTTACCTGGGCATGAACCTGCTCCCCTTTACGAATAACAGAACCAAGATTTTCTGCAGAACTGTTGCAAGATTGCAAAATTGGAGCTAGTTTCGATGCTAAAACTTCTTCTGTGCAGTGAATAACTGAATCTTGGATGAAAGGGGAATTGGGTTTTGAGGAAAATGCAGCAGCGACTGAGATACTCCTTCTGTAGATTGAACAGATGTTCTTGCTTTGAAACAACATTTACAAAAATGAGGTTTACTCTCTTCCTTTGTCCATTTTTATGCCCTACAATGTTATCATAAAATAAAAGTGTATAAACATATTAATTTGTTACTATGTGTGTATTTAGAATTTTCATGACAATATATTAACCAACTTTGCCAATGCACCACCATAAACATCATACACATTACAGGCCAAGCTGATAACAAAATATAGTGGATCATATTCAGATATTCTTATAGAGAAACCAATTTGACCAATTTTAAGAGCAAAAAAGTGAGATAAATTGTTGAC